ATCTATCTTCTCTCCTTTGTCCCTTTTGAATGAGAAAACAACCCTTCTTGCTCTTCACATATAGGTGTCCTCCCTCCTCTCCAGGAAAGCTCCTTTCCCTTATTTTGCTTTTTGAAGCGAATAAGAACAAGAACAGGTAGGAAGAGAGGAAAGGGAAAGAATAAGTAAAGAGAGGAGCTCTTCAATTCCCCTCCCTGTCTCTTGTGTTCTTTTCCCTCTTGGGGGGTGTCGTTCTTTCTCCTTTGAAGATGCAGAAGACGATTGAAAAGGAAAAGGACACCCGTTCCATCGCCCCTCTATATAGAGAGAGATATCATGAGCATCAGCTGGGTTTGCTGCCAATCCAAAAAGGTGTCCCTTTGAGCCGCGAATTTCTCATCGCACACGAAGAGCAGCCCGATTTGGCCAAATTTTGCCCGGAGGCTGCCCGGCAAAATTTGGCCAAACCGAGCCGTGCATTTCTCATCGCACACGAAGAGCAGCCCGATTTGGCCAAATTTTGCCCGGAGGCTGCCCGGCAAAATTTGGCCAAATCGAGCCGCGCATTTCTCATCGCATACGAAGAGCAGCCCGATTTGGCCAAATTTTGCCAGGAGGCTGCCCGGCAAAATTTGGCCAAATCGAGCCGTGCATTTCTCATCGCACGCGAAGAGCAGCCCGATTTGGCCAAATTTTGCCCGGAGGCTGCCCGGCAAAATTTGGCCAAATCGAGCCGCGCATTTCTCATCGCATACGAAGAGCAGCCCGATTTGGCCAAATTTTGCCCGGAGGCTGCCCGGCAAAATTTGGCCAAATCGAGCCGCGCATTTCTCATCGCATACGAAGAGCAGCCCGATTTGGCCAAATTTTGCCCGGAGGCTGCCCGGCAAAATTTGGCCAAATCGAGCCGCGCATTTCTCATCGCATACGAAGAGCAGCCCGATTTGGCCAAATTTTGCCAGGGGACTGCCCGGCAAAATTTGGCCAAATCGAGCCGTGCATTTCTCATCGCACGCGAAGAGCAGCCCGATTTGGACAAATTTTGCCTGGAGGCTGCCCGGCAAAATTTGGCCAAATCGAGCCGCGCATTTCTCATCGCTCACGAAGAGCAGCCCGATTTGGCCAAATTTTGCCAGGGGACTGCCCGGCAAAATTTGGCCAAATCGAGCCGTGCGTTTCTCATCGCACGCGAAGAGCAGCCCGATTTGGCCAAATTTTGCCCGGAGGCTGCCCGGCCAAATTTGGCCAAATCGAGCCGCGCATTTCTCATCTCCGACGAAGAGCAGCCCGATTTGGCCAAATTTTGTCCTTCGTGTTTTTTGAGAAAACACCATGGACAAAATCTGCCCGGATCTACGCGGCGCTGTTTCTTACAAAAAAAGTGATGCGTAGATCCAGGCAGATTTTGTCCGTTGTGTTTTTAGAGAAATCACCATGGACAAAATCTGCCTGGATCTACGCGGGGCCCGGCAAAATCTGACCAAAGTGACGCGACGCTAATTTATATAATTTACATAATTCTTATAATTTACATAAAATAAAAATAATTTAAATGGAAAAGGAGGGGGGGCTGGCCCGCTTCCGGAAAGGCTCGGACTCGTGATTTAGTATTGGGAGAAGGCCCGGGCTCGTGATGTAGTATTGGGGGGAGGCCCGGGCTCGTCATTTAGTATTGGGGGGATGCCCGGGCTCGTGATTTAGTATTGGGAGAAGGCCCGGGCTCGTGATTTAGTATTGGGAGAAGGCCCGGGCTCGTAATTTAGTATTGGGAGAAGGCCCGAGGCTTTTTTAATAGTTTTAAAAGTTTTAATAGTTTTAATAGTTTTAAAAGTTTTAAAAGTTTTGAAAGTTCAGGAATCTCATGGCCGATTAGTATTGGAAGGAGGCCCGGGCTTGTAGTTTAGTATTGGGGGGAGGCCTGGGCTCGTGATTCTAGTATTGGGGGCAGGCCTGGGCTCGTGATTTAGTATTGGGGGGAGGCTCGGGCTCGTAATTTAATATGAGGCCCGGGCTCGTAATTTAGTATTGGGGGGAGGCCCGGGCTCGTAATTTAGTATTGGGGAGAAGCCCGGGCTCGTAATTTAGTATTGGGGGGAGGCCCGGGCTCGTGGTTTTGTATTGGGGAGAGGCCCGGGGCCCTGTCCAGGAAATTCCTGAACTTTCAAATCTTTTTAATGTTTTAATAGTTTGAAAGGCTTAGTTGAAACTATTAAAACTATCAAAACTATTGAAAAGGCTTCTTTTTAATAGTTTTAATAGTTTGGGAGGCTTTTTAAAAGTTGAAACTATTAAAACTATTAAAGCTTTAAAAAGGAGAAGGCCTGGCCTGGAGATTCCTGAACTTTTGAAACTTTTAAAGCTATTAAAACTAATAAAACTACTAAAAATGCTTCTTTTTAATAGTTTTAATAGTTTGGGCGGCTTTTTAAAAGTTCAAACTATTAAAACTATTGAAACTTTAAAAAGGAGAAGGCCTGGCCTGGAGATTCCTGAACTTTTAAAACTTTTAAAACTATTAAAACTATTAAAAAGGCTTCTTTTTAATAGTTTTAATAGTTTGGGAGGCTTTTTAGAAGTTGTAACTATTAAAACTATTAAAACTATTAAAAGGAAGCCTTTTTAAAAGTTTTAAAAGTTTAAATAGTTTTAATAGTTTTAAAAGTTTTAATAGTTTTAAAAGTTCAGGAATCTCCTGGCCAGGCCTTCTCTTTTTTAAATTTTTAATAGTTTGGGAGGCTTTTTAAAAGTTGAAACTATTAAAACTATTAAAACTATTAAAACTATTAAAACTATTTAAAAAGGCTTCTTTTTAATAGTTTTAATAGTTTGGGAGGCTTTTTAAAAGTTCAAACTATTAAAACTATTAAAACTTTAAAAAGGCAAAGGCCTGGCCTGGAGATTCCCGAACTTTTAAAACTTTTGAAACTTTTCAAACTATTAAGACTATTAAACTATTAAAACTATTTAAAACTATTAAAACTATTAAACTATTAAAAGGGCTTCTTTTTAATAGGTTTAATAGTTTGGGAGGCTTTTTAAAAGTTGAAACTATTAAAACTATTAAAGCTTTAAAAAGGAGAAGGCCTGGCCTGGAGATTCCTGAACTTTTGAAACTTTTAAAACTATTAAAGCTATTAAAATTGCTTCTTTTTAATAGTTTCAATAGTTTGCGAGGCTTGTTAAAAGTTCAAACTATTAAAACTATTAAAACTTTAAAAAGGAGAAGGCCTGGCCTGGAGATTCCTGAACTTTTAAAACTTTTAAAACTATTTAAACTTTTAGAACTATTAAAACTATTAAAACTATTAAAAAGGCTTCTTTTTAATAGTTTTAATAGTTTGGGAGGCCTTTTAAAAGTTTAAATTATTAAAACTATTAAAACTATTAAAAGGCAGCCTTTTTAAAAGTTTTAATAGTTTTAATCGTTTTGAAAGTTTTTAAAGTTTTAATAGTTTTAAAAGTTCAGGAATCTCCTGGCCAGGCCTTCTCTTTTTTAAAGTTTTAATAGTTTGGAAGGCTTTTTAAAAGTTGAAACTATTAAAACTATTAAAACTATTAACAAGGCTTCTTTTTAATAGTTTTAATAGTTTGGGAGGCTTTTTAAAAGTTGAAACTATTAAAACTATTAAAACTTTAAAAAGGAGAAGGCCTGGCCTGGAGATTCCTAAACTTTTAAAACTTTTAAAACTATTAAAACTATTAAAACTATTAAAACTATTAAAACTATTAAAACTATTAAAACTATTAAAACTATTAAAACTATTAAAACTATTAAAAATGCTTCTTTTTAATAGTTTTAATAGTTTGGGCGGCTTTTTAAAAGTTCAAACTATTAAAACTATTGAAACTTTAAAAAGGAGAAGGCCTGGCCTGGAGATTCCTGAACTTTTGAAACTTTTAAAACTATTAAAACTATTAAATCTATTAAAAAGGCTTCTTTTTAATAGTTTTAATAGTTTGGGAGGCTTTTTAAAAGTTCAAACTATTAAAACTATTAAAACTATTAAAAGGAAACCTTTTTAAAAGTTTTAATCGTTTTAATAGTTTTAAAAGTTTTAAAAGTTTTAATAGTTTTAAAAGTTCAGGAATCTCCTGGCCAGGCCATCTCTTTTTTAGATTTTTAATAGTTTGGGAGGCTTTTTAAAAGTTGAAACTATTAAAACTATTAAAACTATTTAAAAAGGCTTCTTTTTAATAGTTTTAATAGTTTGGGAGGCTTTTTAAAAGTTCAAACTATTAAAACTATTAAAACTTTAAAGAGGAGAAGGCCTGGCCTGGAGATTCCTGAACTTTTAAAACTTTTAAAACTTTTAAAACTATTAAAACTATTAAAACTGTTAAAACTGTTAAAACTATTAAAAAGGCTTCTTTTAATAGTTTTAATAGTTTGGGAGGCTTTTTAAAAGTTCAAACTATTAAAACTATTAAAAGGAAGCCTCTTTAAAAGTTTTAATAGTTTTAATAGTTTTAAAAGTTTTAATAGTTTTAAAAGTTCAGGAATCTCCTGGCCAGGCCTTCTCTTTTTAAAGTTTTAATAGTTCGGAAGGCTTTTTAAAAGTTGAAACTATTAAAACTATTAAAACTATTAAAAATGCTTCTTTTTAATAGTTTTAATAGTTTCGGAGGCTTTTTTAAAATTCAATCTATTAAAACTATTAAAACTTTTAATACAGAAAGCAGCCATGTCAAATAGTACATAGAGGTTCCTCTTACATATATATATATATATGTGTGTGTGTGTGTGTGTGTGTGTGCACAGGCGCAATGGATGGCACGTCTCAGGCTTTCGGCACCCGTCTTGGACATGCACGGCGAAGCTTATTGGCCCGAGACCAATGGTCAAACCTATCAAATCGAAGCACCTGTGTGATCACGAGTGGCAATGGACCTAAAGCATCTAAATCTAGCGGTCATAGTCCCAGGTAATAGAGTCCCAGCAACGCGTCGCAGCAGCATTCGCAGGCAATCCCGCGGTCGTTTCCTGGTTTGTTCAGGGAACCAATGGGCCCGCTGCCGGTTTCATGTCGGAATCACTGCCCCAGGATGCCGAACATGACCCGCTGATTACGCTCCTTCGCACGAAGTCCGTGGTTCTCCATGCATAATCAGATCATCACTTTGACACGTTCAGTGCAGGTTTTCGAGATTCCACTGTATAGTACTGGAAGGTTCATGGGAAGCTATGAGAAGGAGGGAAACAACAGTTATAGCTGGCTATAACATTGTTTAGGGTACTTGTAACCCTACTTCCAACTACCCATGAACTTCCAAGTAAGGTCTTTTCCAACCACTAGGGCCCTCTCTACAACCTTTAAGGGAGTAGATAGGTACCTCATTCCATATCAAGAACCAGCCCCACTGGAAGGTAAGGTCCTTCTCCAACCATGTAGTAGGACAACTATAACTATTGCTGACTAGAACCTTATTTAGGGCACTTATACCCCCTCCTTTTGGAATACTTGTAACCCCACGTAGGGTACTGATAACCCTACCTTTAGAACACTTATAACCCTACTCATGGCAAGGTCCTTTTCCAACCATGCGGACGCTCCGAAATGGTCGCTGGGCCCATCTCCTGAATCGAGCAGCCGAAAATGCGAGCGGTTCGAGACGGGAAAGGACTTCCGCAAAGCAAGCCTTATAGGGTTCCTAGGGGTTTAGGGTTCAGGGTTTAGTAAGGGTAGGGTTTAGGGTTTATTGGGTTTTTAGGGTTTGTAGGGTCTATGGGGTTTATAGGGTTTATCGGGTTTATGGGGTTTATAGGGTTTCTGGGGTTTATGGGGATGGGCTTTAGGTTTTTTAGGGTTGAGCAGCCCCTCGTTCTTCCCGTATCAGAGGATGTGTTCCTACTTGTGAGCCCATGTCACGCCGAAACATGTGGTGTAAACGGGTCTTTCTCACAAAACAGGTCCCCGAAATATGCCCCCCCCCCCCCCCCAAGTTCATCATGCTAAGGGTACCCCCTTCTCGTTGCCACCCCAAACCGAGGCCATCCCCCACCCACCCGCCAACAAAGAAAGGTCCGAAAGCATCCTAAGCTCATCTCAACCTTATCCCCCCCAATAGTTTAGGGTTTAGGGTTTAGGGTATCCTAAACCCATCTCAGCCTTGCGTTGAGACACCCCGCCCCCCCTCCTCTCCCAACTCGCCCGCGTGAAGGAGCCCGCGCCGGGCCCTGCGTGCGACTTGGGTGCAGGGTATAGGGTGTATGAAGGGTTTAGGGTTTAGGGCTTAGGGCTTAGGGTTTCGGGCCTAATTGTGTGGTGGCCTTCTGTTTAGCAGCTGGTCATTGCCTACAGCCTGGCAGCAAGGAGTCCAGATGCAAAAAAAAGGGTTTAGGGTTTAGGGTTTAGGGTTTAGGGTTTAGGGTTTAGGGTTTAGGGTTTAGGGTTTAGGGTAGGAACCAGAAGCTGCCAGTAGCGTCGGTTGAGGATCTGGGGGTTCAAAGGCTTCCTTGAGGTTTGCAGTTTACAGGTTTAGGGCATAGGCATAGGTCTTTAGGGCTTGGTGTTTATTGCTGAACCCTATACCCTAAGCCCTAAACCCTTTAGCCTAAATCTAAACCCCAAACCCTAAACCCTAAACCCCAAAAGGGCGGCTCGGTGGGCTCTCCAGGTTACTCTCCGCGGGTGCCGCCACGCAAAGCCAAACCCGGCTGGCAATTTGGCAACTCGGGACGCGTGCCTTGGCAGCTGGGTTTAGGGTTTAGGGTTAGGGTTTAGGGTTTAGGGTTTAGGGTTTAGGGTTTAGGGTTTAGGGTTTAGGGTTTAGGGTTTAGGGTGCCTGGGCAGCTTGGAGGTTCATGGGTAGTTGGGTCACGAGAGGCGGTTAGGGGTTTGAGTGGGCTTTGGGTTTAGAGTTTAACTTTGTGGTGCTTTACTGTAATTTTAGATCCTTAGCCGTTTTGGGTTTATTGGGTTTCTTAATAAGGCAGCTAAAAATTTATTTTATAACTACCCTCCTAAGTGCAGCCAAGTTAAGGGAGGTTTGGGGACCAAACGAACCCGGGCTTTATGGCTCATACGCCTGAATAGGGATTGTAGTAGTGGTATAGCTCCCCTACTTTTGACCCCACTTGTAGCGTAAACCCTAAACCCTACAACCCCATGAACCTTCAAGAGGTTGGTTTAAGCTGTGGCTCCGCGGAGCCTCAGAGCCTGCTGTCAAAACAAGGGTTGAGAGTTTGTAGGGTTTCACCTGGATGCAAAAGGGTTTAGGGTTTTAGGGTTTTAGGGTTTTAGGGTTTTAGGGTTTTAGGGGTTTAGGGGTTTAGGGGTTTAGGGGCTTAGGGGCTTAGAGTTTAGGGTTTAGGGACTGCGTGCAATTAGGGTTTTCGCACAACAAACAAGAGGTCCAGCTCCCAACATGCTATAGGGTCTATATAGGGTTTGCAAAGTTTTATCGGGTTTACGGGGTTTGCAGGGTTTATAGGGTTTGCAGGGTTTATGGGGTTTGTTGGGTTTATGGGGTTTAAGGGTCAGTTCCCAGAGTCTCTAAGGGGGCGGGGGCAGGCTCTGAATGGCTGGCTGAGGACTGGGCGCGCATCCGCAGATACTGGCCTGAGATCCCCGCCACTAGATCAGTGTTAGGGATCCTTTTTACTTTTTGGGTTATGGGCTTTCTTATATGTGAACAAAAAGGATCCTTTTTTCTTCCTAGGGGAACAGGGATTAAGGCCAAGTCCAGCACAGCTCCTGGCCAGTATTCCGCCAAGGAGGCCGGCGCCCGACCTCCAACTTCTAGGGTTCCCAAAGAGCCCAATACCCCCTAATTAAGGTCCTTAAATCATAATAAGGCTCCCTCTGTAATTGAAGCTCTATTCCTGAATTAAGGGGTATTGGGCTGTTTGGGTGCAGGGTTTTGGATTTAGGGTTTAGGGCTTCGAGTTTTTAAGCTAAACGCCGGGAGAAAGAGGACCGTTCGGTACAAGTGCTTATGGAGTTAAGTACTTTTTCAGTGGCACGATACATATGTATATATGTACATATATAGGGTGTTTTGGTTTAGGGTTGAGGGTTTAGGGTGTAGGGTGTAGGGTGTAGGGCATCGAAATGTTTACCAAGCCTGTGGGCCCGCATGCGGGGAAACGTGCGAAAATCTTCTGCGACGTGCCTCCGCGACGAAAGGAACACGACCGCAAATCTCTGATGAAAACACGCGCCATTGTGCTTTCGGGTTTCGGGTTTAGGGCTCTCTTGAATGTTTTTTTTGTATTGTTTTCGTACTGGTGTCGAAGAAGCTCAGCCAAACAGACTTTCAAAACAGCAAAGTCGGAAGCTGAAACTTCACCCAGCAAGCGAGGAACCATCCAGAAAAGACTGTCAGGCAACTTATGGTGTTCTTAAGGGAGGGGGGTTCGGGGGGGGTATGTAACCCAAGGTACCCCAGTACTCCCTCAAACTCCCTAAGCTTCCCCAAGGTTTGCTAGGTACCTACCCCCCATGAACTCCCCCCCCTTAAAAACCCTACAAGCAACGTTTAGGGTTGTCAAGCGCACGACGTGAAACATGTAAAATCTGTAAAGAAGCACCTTCCCCCATGCAGTTTCTGTGCCTAGGGTTTAGGGTTTAGGGTTTAGGGTTTAGGGGTTAGGGTTAAGGGTTTAGGGTTTAGGGTTTAGGGTTCAGGGCTTCGTGCCCTGCTGCAGTAGGACTCCCAGCGGCGCCAGATCTCGTTCCCCCGGGCGGAGCGCAAGGTTCACGAGACTCGTCCGAGTTTTTCTTTCAGGGTCGGATCAAAGCCCTAAAAAGTCTTAGGTTTTAAGGAGTTTCAAGGGTTTTTGTTTAGGGTTTTGCATGAAGACTCACGATGAATGCTGGTTTCCCAAACTTGGGGAAATTGTTTGAAGTACTTTTTTGCAGGGGTTGGGGGGGGGGGGGGGGAAGAGGGAGGGCCCTGTCCAAAGCAAAACGCACATAGTCCCCATCCACAAGCACACCATTCACAAAGTACCCAAAAGGGTTTACCTAACTCAAAGAAGACGTCATGTATTAGTAACTTGTATAAACCCTACCCCAAAAAAGGTTTACATCCAGACCATTCATGAATAAGCAACCATCAACCCTACTCCCAAAACGGGCTAACAGAACTCAAAAAGTTTTCTTGTTAGGATACTCCCCCTTATATCAACAGTCCTGATTAGGGATATGGTAGTGGAGGGTACGATAATCCCATTAAGGACCGTTCGTAAGGGGAACATCCCAACCCTGAACCCTAACCCTAGTAGAAGGGGGACCATTCCAACCGCCATGTCAGGACATCCCAGACACGCCGGGGCCCGGCCAATGGTCTGTCGACGCTGGTGTGGGGAGGACCTACCATCCGCAGCATCTTGGCGCAAGGGTTTAGGGTTCCGGGTTTCGGGTTTACGGTTTAGCCCATCGCAGAAAGGGTTTCGGGATCTGGGGGCCGAGTGTATTGCGGAAGCGTAGGAGATGTAGCAGGGATGCTATTGACTACATGCCACTGTGCGCCACGACTTACTACTACTTTTGGCAGATGCAGGGGCAGGGGAGGGATATGGGGGGGGCTGCCGAAGTTAGGGGGTACCTAGTTGGGGTCCTTACTATTCTGGGAATCCGATTAGTTGGGGGACTTGTTTACAGGGCCCCTTCTGTTCGGAAACCCCCCCATGTTGCAGTGTGGGGGCCGCTCACTTGAGGTACTCCATGGCCCGCCGGCAGGCCGACCCGCGAGGGCGCTTCTTCCACCCTAAACCCTAAACCCTAAACCCTAAACCCTAAACCCTAAACCCTAAACCCTAAACCCTAAACCCCATGTCGCTCAGGAGCCCTTCTGTGAAGTTGAGGCTGCCCCGTCTCCGTGGTCTACAGGCCCAGGTTGGGATCATAAAACTTCGTTTCCTCGCGTTTCGTGTGCTGCAGGCAGCACTTCCTCCACTGGGCAGACATGGGCCGCGCCTTCACCGACATTCGGGGGGAGGTGCGGTGCATGGCAGTGCACCTCCGATGTTGCTATAAAGGTCAGAATGGACGACGGACTCAGTGATGTCAGTGGTTCGGATTCCTTTCTTTCGACCCCAGGTCCTCTTCAAGAGGTTGTTGTTTCGGGGGCAGACAGGCCCTGAGAAACAGATTGGTGGTTGTTGAGGGACAGTACCCCTAAACCCTAAGCCCCAAGCCCTAAACCCTAAACCCTAACCAGCACTTTGGCCTCCAGAACTTGTGTTGGCGTCGTTGTTGCTCTTTTGTCATGCGCATTCCAGCATTTTCGGCTTCTGGGATTGGTTTGCCACTGCTGGGACTGCTTTACTGCAAGTGCAGAAGCAAAAGAAACCTAGATACCGGCGGGGGATACCACAGTTGAGTAATTAGGGCCTTATGTGGAATAGGGGGCCCAGAACACCCCCCTTCCCTTATACAAGCATGGCAGAAGCTTCCTGCAGGCGATCGAAGACACCGACCGTGCCAAGGTCACCCAGCGTGAGAAGGCGGCCGGAGAGCTCCTAAAACCCTACTTGGAGGTTCATGGGTAGTAATGGGTAGTTACAAGTAGGGTTGTAAGTATCCTAAACAAGGTTATAACCAGTCGTAATTACAGTTACCCTACTTATAAAGCCCAACCATAACTACCCAGGAACCTCCAAGTAAGCGCTTTGGGATGATGATGAGTATGATGGTTACGACTCGTCGCCATCATCAGCATCACCATGACCATCCATCACGATGATGACGTCGGTGACACGGAGGAGGAGCAGCAGGAGGGACAACAAGGACAGAAACGAGGGCGAGAAAGATGATCATAGCTAAGACGATGACGAGGACAACGAAGATAAAGATGAATACGAATCTTACAAGCAAGGATGAGGATGATGACGGCGGACCAACGCGAAAGCAGCACAACTAGTCCTGCGGTTCTGTGTAGGGCACATCGTGTTTTGCAGAGCCGACATGCAGGTCTCCGTTTCCGGAGCCGCCGTCTCCTGGCCCTGGCGACTACGATGTGCGGGGCAACCTCGGGAAGGTACTGGGACACCAGAGCAGGGCATGTTACTGCACTGCTAGGCTACATTGTTCGACTGTTATAGTGTAGTATAGAATTATGACACATTTCTATGTTGTTACATTACTTTATGATTGTCTGATTGTATTGTTATACCAATGTATCGTTATATCAGTACCTATTGTATTCGGACAAATATGTTTGTATTCTTATTGAAAAAGAATATCATTATGTTGTTATGTCTTTATGCCATTATATTTTTATATAGTTATATTGTTCTATTGTTCTATTATCATCTCATCACATTAGTATATTGTTATTTCGACCTTCAAGCCACTTGCTGGCGACTTCATTCCTACAGGCGCCCGCCTTCTCCGTGGAACAGCGGAGGAGATCCCTTACCGTGGGCCGGCACACGCGCCCTGTTGTGACTAAAGAGACCTATGCAGATTTACGGTACTACGGGACCCTACTAATTTACCCCAATAGAGACCCCCAAATAGTAGGATCCTTTTATAAATAAGGACCCCATAAAGGTACCCCTAGTGTCGCAAGCCCCCAACTCGGGTTTGTGTTCCATAAGCCATCCTCCCCCTCCCCCTTCTTTCGGCAGAGGTAGCCAGGCCTGTGCTTGGAGCTCATGGGTACATGAAAGTGGGGAACCTACGGTTATACCTTATTTTACTAGTGCCGTGAACTCGGCACGAGCCAAACACCGAGTTGTCGGAGTTGGTTCCTGGATTTGTTGGCTTCCTGTGGCCCCAAACCCTATGAGTAGGACTTCACACCCTAGATAAAGGGTAAACCCTAGACCCGAAAACCTCTCAAAAGTGTAGGTAAATGGAGCCGGTGTTTCCCACATGCCACGGACCCTGAACCCCAAACCCTGAACCCTAAACCCTAAACCCTAAACCCTGAACCCTAAACCCTGAACCCTAAACCCTGAACCCTGAACCCTAAACCCTGAGCCCGAAGTGCCCAGGCCATTCCATACCTATCGGCCACCTTTTGAGGCCCGTGGCGGCTCGGGCCCGCAGTCTCTCGCCACAAGGGTTTCGGGGTTTAGGGTTTAGGGTTTAGGGTTTAGGGTTCAGGAACTTCTACGTGGGTTTGTAGGTAGGGTAGCTGCACTTGTAGCTGAGCACAACCTTATGTAGCTGTTTTTGGGGCACTTGTGACCCCACTTCAAGCTACCTATGAACCTTCGAGTAGGGTTTAGGGGGAGGGGGCCTTGGCCCAGATGCAAAGGTTGGGAGGGATGCTCAAGGAATTCCAGCTTGTGGTTTTAAATTCATGTTGCCGGTTACGATGTCATATATCTAGACAAGCCCCCCGTAAAAGGATTCTGAATTGTTGTGGCCTGGGGGGTTTGTCGCATTTGGCAAGCACCCTGTCGTGGATGGCAGCTCCCTTTCCTAAACCCAAGCTTGCAGTAGATGGTAGACCTAGCGGCATCCTTTCCCAAAAGGCAGTGGCTGTCACTGCTCTATGCCCATCTCGTGCCCACCCGGGAGTGGAATGGAACATTCGGTGGGTGCTCCCTAAACCCTAAAGCCTAAACCCTAAACCTTCAGGTGTCCTCCGTACACGCAGTTTGGCAGCCGATCCGTGACACCCACCTCAACGCCGAGAGCGTGGCGCTAGCGCTCCCAATTTTCTAGGGTTCCCAGGGGCATGGGGGTCAATGCTGCCCCCCCCCCCCCCCCCCCCCCCCCCTGCTTTAGGAAACCTTTTAGGGTTTAGGGTTTAGGGTTTAGGGTTTAGGGTTTAGGGTTTAGGGTTTAGGGTTTAGGGTTTAGGGTTTAGGGTTTAGGGTTTAGGGTTTAGGGTCTCTACTGATAGCTTTCTCATATCGAAGAATTCAGCGAGGAGATCCTGCACAGGCCGATTCAAGGCCGGAGCTTAGAAAAACTCTTTCGCCGCACATAGAGACTGTAGACCCACGATGGAAGTCAGTCTATGATAGTCTATGTCTAGCCAGCTCTCTGAATCTTGCCCCCCCCCCCCTTTTTAATTTTGAAGGTCTCCGAAAATATTTTTAAATATTTTTTTCAGGGAGAAAGGGGGGCCCTGATTTGGAGAATTGGCATTCTAGGATGCTAGGGTGATTGCCCTAAGTGAGGGCCTCTCGGAAGGTTGACACAATCAGAGCAAAGCTCTGGATGACAGCCGAAACCTCCCCTCCCCTGCCTTCCCCTTCGCGCCTGCGGAAAATATGCTGAAGCCTGAGGGAAGGATGGACTATTCCATTAGGGTTTAGGGTTTAGGGTTTAGGGTTTAGGGTTTAGGGTTTAGGGTCCATAGGCTCTTGAGACAGAAGCTTCATGATCCTCTGGCACTCCTGCAGCACATGAAGCAGAGTCAAAGTGCATGGAAATGCATGGCCAGTGCGCGAATGCTCTCCACAGTAACTGAGTTTTAATTTTGTATATTGAACTAATATTTCTAAATATTTAATATTTTCAATATGTGTGGTCTAGACGTTCACCATAGACGCAGTTATAGCCCCGCAGAAGCAGAACTTGTTGAACTCATGGACAAAGCGCGCGTTCTGTCTTTGAACGCACATGATGGAAACCGAGGCAGTTTCCTACTATATGCTCAAGAACCCCCCCAAAAAATAGAAAACGATAATCCCTACATTACCCTTACAAGGAAGAATATGTTGATTTTTTTTTTTTTGGGGGGGGTCTTTATGCAAATAGTAGCTTAAGCAACGTGCTGCATGCAGCAGCTGGGCAATGCTCGGCTTCCTCTTCCCATGGCTTTCAGAGAAAGAGGCCGGAGCAGAGGCCGGGGCTGCACGTGTCCAGCAAGCTGCTATCTGCTTCAGAACCCCCCAAATGTTTGTTTTAAGAGCAATCCCTATATTGCCCTTATAGGAATCATATGGAATAATATTTAGCATTTTTTTTTGGGGGGGGGTTCTTACGCAAGTCGTAGCCAGATTCATCGGCTCGGCGTGATGATGCATTGTCACCCCCCATGGTAGATGCAGAACGTGGAGACATGCTTGTATCCGAGGTAGCCGCAGGCTCGCAGCTTCCAAGGCAGACTGTCCAGTGCACAGCTTCAAGAAGTGGATCCCTCCACGGGTCGGGGGGGGTTTAGGGTTTAGTTTAGGGTTTAGGGTGGGAAGGGGGGGGGATATCTTAATGCAGTTGCTTCACTGGCTGTGCCGACTTCTAGATGCCATTTGCCCTCAAGTTGCACCCAAACCTATCAGAGTCCCGGACCCTATAAACCCTATAAACCCTATGAACCCTGCACCCCAAACCCTAAACCCTAAGCCCTCAACCCTAAACCCTAAACCCTAAAAACCCAAACATGTCGACAGCGCCAGGGAGTCCCTATTGCCCGCTTCTGCAAGCAGCTTGGCTGTTGATGGCCGATTAGTTGCTTTCCGGCGCAGGAGGTGTGAGCACGGACCTGCCGCTCCAGGATGGGCTACTAGGCCCTATAATCCCAATAATGAACCCTACAAAGGGCTTTTCGGGGATTATAGGGTATAATAGCCCATCCTGGCAAGGGCCATGAGACCAGCAAGGGTCGCAGCAGGAGAAGGCATCAAGCAAAGGTCCTAAGACAATGTTGGCAGAGAATCCGCAGGCGTCAACCGCGTCGTCATCCCAAAACTCAGTCGTCCCAATCCTTGCAGGAGCTCACGAAGTAAGATGGGAGGTTCCAGGAATGCGTTGAAAACCCTAAACCCCAAAACCCTAAACCCTAAACCCGCCCCTGCCAAGGTAGCTCGTTCCATCCAGAGCTGCTCTCGACTCTCCGCTCACTGGAGTTCCAGGAGCAGCGAGGTGTGCAGCCAATGCAGAGGGCGCAGCCCCCACAGGCATTCCACTCGGAGGCCCGCTGTGAAATGCAGAAAACTAGATCAGTGTTAGGGATCCTTTTTACTTTTTGGGTTATGGGCTTTCTTGTATATGAACAAAAAGGGTCCTTTTTTCTTCCTAGGGGAACAGGGATTAAGAAACTTCCGCTCTAGGTTCGAGTTCCTAAAGACTGCTTGTGGGAGATGTGGGGGGGGTATATGGTGATAAGGGACCTCTAGTGTAGACTTTCAAAGAGTAGGACTTATCATAAGGTATCATGTAGGAATCTGGGGAAGACTTGCGTCAAGTCGTTGTGCCAGGCATCCATCAGCCCAGAAGCGACGGGTTGTGGCTGCATCAGCGGCCTCCGGCGATGCCTGACAGGTGGGTTTACGAACATAGCGGACCCTCAATACCAGGATGCCCAGTAGTACCCTTATTCCCGTTTTGGGGGCTTTAGGTTCCCTTATAAACCCCTTTAAGCAAAAAAGGGCACCCTTTTTAAGCCTGCAGTAACGGTGTACCGCAGGGAGACCCGATCTCCATGCTGTCTGCTGCTGCCTGCCTCAGCAAATGGTTGCACAACCTTTATAGCATCCCCAACGAGCTTGAGTTCGAGGGTTGGGTTTTCGTGGATGACCGTATTCTTGTTTCTGGTCTCCATAACCGCGAAGATGGTGATATCTTCCAACATCTTTTCTCCAGCATTGAAGCCTGGGATGAGTCCTGGGGTTTTAAGACGCGCCCGAAATCTACGCAGTTTGCCGTCAACGGTCCTGCTGTTCTTCGCTGGCAGGACGGTTCTGATGTCCAGTCAGACGTTTCTTTTATTTATCTTGGGGTTCCTCTTCCTCTTCCCCAAACCTCCCGTGCGAAGTTTTTTGCTGGTAAACTTTCTGAAGCGCAGCGTATCTTTCACATGCTCCAGAAGGCTGGTGATAACATCACCAAGGAAGTTCGTGCTTACGTTTACACTTCCATTATCTTGCCGAAGTTTTCTTACACTTCTAGTATGATTCGTCCTGTCAACCGTGATTTGGATGCCATCAGAGCTAAAGGTTTGAGCCTCTCTTTTGGCTGTCCTCTTGCCAACCACGCTGCTGTTATGGCTTTCGTTCTTCCTTGTCACCGGTATGACCCCAAGTCTGTTCTTATTTACTCCTCTCTCACTCGGTGGGAGAGAGTCTTTCAGAAACACGGTGTTTTGGCTTCTCTTTCTGAATATAGCGCGCTTGCCAGCCGTAAGGCAGGTTTGGGCCCCATGCGCCTCTTTCTTGATGACTTGTCTCATTTAGGGTGGCATATCCGTGCTGACGGATGCATCACCACGCACTGCCAGTTTATCTGGAAGCCCGGGCAAACTGACTTAATTGCCCTTAAGCACCATCTTAGGGATGCGCTGCGTCGTGCTCTTATTTCCAGTTTAGGCGCTTCTTGGCATGGTTGCAAAGAGGCCGCTCTCGACTTCTCTTGCAAGCTTCTTAAAACCTGGACCAGACAGCATCCTCTCTGGCATGTGCTCGCTCGCACGCTTTCTAACGCACATCCTACTCCGCTTCGTTTGCTGCGAATGAATAAGCAGATTCATTCCTTTTGTCCATACTGCCACTATGAATTGGCTGATATTTTTCATTTTCTTAATGAGTGTCCTAAATTTCAGCACATGAGGGATCGTTGCCCCCTCTCGCCTTCGAGGGATTGGCCATGCTGCGCGCAAAACATGCTCATCTGCACTCGTGATATGCCTATTCACGTTCGGAACAAGTGGGATAAGTACCAACACTGGGCGTGTGAGACCTTGTCTCTGTGGATGGCGTTTGAGAGAGAGATTAGGTATTCTCCTGATAAAATTTGCACTCAGTCCGTCTCTACTCCTGCGGTGGGTAGTGTCCAGCATCCTCGTACGTGTTGGCCGTCTGTTGCCACTATGCCGAGCTTTAACTGGTCCCCTTTTACTTCCCGTGCCGAGTGGACCTCCTGGAGAGGCTCGCTGTCTCTCTTTGCCAATATGTTTCTATTTTGGTCTCTCTGGAACAGAGATAATTCCGCCAGCTGTGAAGTCTCGTGGCTGTATGCTTTCACTTTGTTTCTTGAGCTTGTTGGCCCTGCCGCTGACCTTTTCAAAGCTAACGGGCTTACTGTGCTTCAGGCTACGGCTTCCTTTAAGCATCTTAGTGAAGCTCTGTGGGTTCGCTGCGGTATTTATGTTCATGAGTCCCCCCCTCAGAAGAGATATTGGCACAGATCTCTCCCTGCGGTTTGGTCCTGTCCTTTTGGCTTTCCTCCCATTCAGTCCTTAAAAGTTTTTCCATCTGTGATTGCTGGGCATCTTCGCAACAGGTTTGAAATGAATCTTGGTGAGCATCTCGCGGTCTTCGTTCAGGACCTAGATGGTTGTCACAGTCGTGATATCGTTTCCCTGGTCGGTTCTCTGCGCAAGCCGCTTCCGAAAACCACTGCGCCTCCTTGGTGGTCTGTCTGCTCTCAGATATGTCAGGCTGCCTCTGGTAGATACAGGAGCATCGATGATAAAATCATTGTCCGTGCGGACGGTGGTCTCGAACAGTTTCATGCGGAAGACTTGGCGATTCTTCCTTACCATGTCATTCTTACTGCCTTAGGCTGCAAGCTGCCCCTGGCTTCTCTCCTTGCTTTGCAACGCACGTGGGCCAAATTCAGGAAAAGAATTTCCTCGTACAAAGCTGGTCACTTGATTGGTTCTTGGACTTTTTCTCGTGACTTCATTTGTTGTTTTTGTGGTAGGACGCCTTCAATGTGCGATTCCAAACGTGCTCATTCGTCCTGTTCCGGTCCGGAAGGTTCGTCGCTTTTGAGGCTGGCTTCCTTTTGCGGGGCTGTTTTGGACTCTCTTCAGGTTGTAATTAACAGGGTGCAGTTTCACGGGATCACTCTGCGCTTGGGCGATAAGTTTGCACCTGTTGTGGAGGATTTGCTTTCCTCTCTCATCTCACTTGCCCAGTCCCTTAGTTCGGAGTCGCTTCATCCGTTTTTGGATAACTTTTGCTCTGCTTCCCAAAGACATGCTTTCTTTGTTGGCATGCTGGCTCGTTGGTCCAGCTTAATAGGTTTCTGGCAGAAGGGCAAGCATTGCTATGTTCCCTTTGACCTTACGTGCAGAGATGGGTTCTGCATTTCGTGTCTCACTAGGTGTCCCAACTTCGCTAAGCGACTCGCTTCATTTTGCAAGCGCCCTTGTTTGTCTCATTCGTTAAACTCTGAGGCCAATGACGCCAGAACTTTACTTCTGGAAGTCCAGAAGCTTTTGTCTCGTCTCCGCTGAGCCGATCCGGCTCCCTCTCATGACATGACCGCTCTTTGAGATCTGTGGCACCCTTTTTAAGCCTAGGTTACTGGGCAGCCTAGAATATAGGCCCCCAAATAGTAGGATCCCCATATAACTTCGGAAACCCCAAGTCAGCCCAGCTTCACGCGCACACTAAGCAGCTGATGCTGCTCTGTAGGTGGCAACCCAAACCCTAGAAGCCCTAGCAACGCCTATGAACCCTAAACCCTTAAGGAAAGCACAAAGCCAGGTGCAACATGGCGCCGCAGGAGGAGCAGTCCGAAAGCTCAAAGAGCCCGGGCCCTCACCGATAGCCCCTAAACCCTAAACCCTAAGCCCTAAGCCCTAAACCCTAAACCCTAAACCAACGTGGAAGCTTTGTGAGGCTGGCGCGCCAAAGGGCGCACACGACTGCTTAAGGGCGGCGTGCTCCTCTCAGACGTTCTTTTGGGGTATCGGCCGGTATCGGCCTGGAGAGTGGAGAAGCCGTGTCCTTAGCAGTGCACCGTGTTCCGGTACTGAGGCTGGTGCCAGCTGGGCTTCCCTGGCATCAACATGCAGAGCACCCCAAGCAGGCCAGCAGCCACATGCAAGCTCACACGGGGCTTGAGGCTTCGGTTCGCAATTTGGGGTTTGGGGTTTAGGGTTTAGGGTTTAGGGTTTAGGGTTTCTGCTTCCGTAGTACGTCTGGAGCCTTGAGTGTGGTGTCCACTTGACACAGCCTGCGCCAGGCTGAGTATGGCTGTGAACAAGCCAAGCCTTAAGAGGACCGAAGGCTGAATCCCCACAGTGTCACGCCGGAGCTCCTCATGTATTAGCAAAATAGTGCCGGTTTCCGACGATGTACGGTGTATAATGACTCTGCAACAAGTTTTAATGTGGCCAGCAAAAGAAAAAAGAAGGACCGCAACAAAAGCACTGAGTTGCTGGACATGCAAGAAGGGAGGCCACGTTGTGCCTCTGATGCTTGGCTCAAGACAGGGGCATTCTTGGAGGATGTCCGAGGAGGCCAGGAATTACCCTTTGGGCTGGCGCTCCGCGTGTGGAATTGCCGTGGCCTTGCTGGCGCTGGCCACGCCGCAGCTGCCAAAATTCGGGCTCCCTCCGCTGTTTGCCATCGACGGCGCGCGCGGGCAAGATCCGGACGGGAGAAATGGGAGAAGGCGGACACCCATCCACGTTCCTTGCGGCCCAAATCAACCCTAAAGTTTGGGTCATACAGCCACGGTTTAGGGTTTAGGGTTTAGGGATTAAGGTATATGAACTCTTTAAGGGTTCATTGCGTCCACAAGGTTGTCGAAGCTCATGGCGATGCCCTTCGCCACTGGCCCTCCCATCCTGGGCCGCAGGAGAGCTGGTCTCAGCCTGTGCCTTGGATCTTACGACTTAGTAGTCGTTTTAGAACCCCGAAAAATTAGAAAATCTTCCTTAGTAAGGGTAATATAAGGATTCTTAAATGTTTTTAAAATTCTTTTGGGGTTCTTCAGCAATTAGTAGATGAGGTCCTCTCTCAAGGCCTTTAGGTTCTTATAAGGTAGGCAGGAATGTTGAAATTGGGTTCTTAAACTCACTTAGCCAACGGTAGAACTTTTAACCCTCTGGGTTTCCTTGTTCAGTAGGAATAATCTTGCTTAATCCTTTTGTTCCTTCATTGTTGGAGAAGTATCCCTAAACCCTAAACCCTAAACCCTAAACCCTAAACCCCGTAGGCTTGGCAGGTAACGCTTGTCCACGTCGACTCCCACAGCGACATGGCACCCCTGGAGCCGGCGATCTGGGCCGATCTTCTCGAGGAGATTGAAGATTGCCCCCTGGCGCGCTCCAGCCTTTTAGCGTTTAGGGTTTAGGGCTTAGGGCTTAGGGCTTAGGGCTTAGGGCTTAGGGCTTAGGGAACTTTAGGAACTGTTTAGCGGTTCCGGTTTTAGGATTGGTGGGATTTATATTTGGGATATAGGTTCTGCGCTCGAAAAGGAGTTTGCTTTGATTACTGTATAGTTTTTCGGGTAAAAGGGGTTCTAGGGCTGCAACAAGCTCTTCACGCGAAAGAATGGGTCATGGACGCAGTTCTGAGACTCGTGCTCAGGCGATGTGCAATGTGCCAGAACACAGCGCAAAGAGTGGCTCAAGTCCGCGGTGGATAAGGCTCGCAGTGGAGTGGAGCAGCTGCGTGCTTCAGAGTTGATCCTGCCGTGTGGCAGGTTTTCGTGTCCGACTTCATTACCGCCGCCCTGTGCCTGGGCATGCTGGACACAGTGGTTTGGATCCGGTCGGACTTGCCTGGGATTGGCAGATACAATGGTCCACCTCCCGGACGGTACAAGGCCCTCGAGACATTGTCGTGATGTACCAAGAATGAAGGATGACTCGGGGAAGCATGAGACAGCCTTGCAGCTGGCTCCTAGGCTTTAGAGGAAGAACATAGCTGAACCGCTCGGACAATCAAAACCTTATCTACCGATGCAAACATGCGGCCGAGTTGCAGGCGCGGGTTGAGTGGAATCTCTGGACTGCAGACGGGGAGACCCATCTGCACTGTGTGTGGCGGGTGGGGGGGGGGGGGGGGGGGGGGGTGTTGATCATGTTGATTCTTAATTCTCTAGGGAGAGAAAGGCGGCAAGGGCCCCTTCACCACCACCCCCCCCTCCATGTGCGTAGTTCTTAGTGGGGAAGAGGGAATTAGGGCCCTATATATACCCTTTAAGAGATTCTGTAGGGTACCTCATTCCCTCATTACTAAGAACCTCTATATTTATATATACATACATACCCTTTAGGGGATTCTACAGGGTATCGCATACCCTAAACCCTAAACCCTAAACCCTATACCCTAAACCCTAAACCCTAACCCTAAACCCTAAACCCAGTGATCTTCAGGAAGTCGTCTTCGAGGAGCTCTGTCTGCGCCAGTTGGAAGTTCTGGAAGTCTTCCCAGCGACCGAGCTGACCGGCATCATGGAACATGAGGCCAGGGCTTTAGGGTTTAGGGTTTAGGGTTTAGGGTTTAGGGTTTAGGGTTTAGGGTTTAGGGTTTAGGGTTTAGGGTTTAGGGTTTAGGGTTTAGGGTTTAGGGTTTAGGGTTAGGGTCTAGGGTTTGGGGTTTAGGGCTTGGGGTTTACGACACATCCAAGCTTAGGCTTAGACGGTCTCTCTTGTTGCCATGTTGTGCAGGTTGTGTTTGCACTCAATGATGGTACTTGCACCCTTGAACGGAATTGCTTACTCACAGGTGTTCTTTGCAAGAAGTACCTGCAGACTGCCCCGCCCTGTGTACTTTCGAAGGCCGTGTGTAGTTCCATGTGCCGCCCACACGGGCCCGATGACCAGAAAGTCGTAACATGAAATGAACGGAACCTCCTAGCTTGCTTCAGCTTAGTTAAATAGGTGCAGGTTTTCATCTCAGAGTATTAAGTTCTTCTTAGCCCTATATGTACAGTGGCGGTTCTAACTTGATGCTCTACCACGATCACATATGACCCGAAGGTGGTGCTCAGTTGATCTTGTTTGGGGCCCGCCTCCAGCTAGGACCTCTAGGAGATGTTGGGGTTCTTGAAGCTCATTTAGGGTTTAGGGTTTAGGGTTTAGGGTTTAGGGTTTAGGGTTTAGAGCTTAGGGTTTAGGGTTTAGGGTTTAGGGTCGGGCGAAGCCACGCGCAAAAACAGAGTGGCAAGAGAAGCTTTGAGTAGGGATTGTGTTATGAAGAGGCACATTTGTGGGATTAATCCACGTGCAGCCAGGAACTGGACTCATGTACAGAGGTCGAGGACGGAGCTGCTGAGAAAGAGCGCCTTGGTGTTTTAGATCATACTGAACACTGTTGGGCTCTCACTCTTACAACTTGGGTTCCTAGAGCTTTTGCTTACAACGAGCCTCCTCTTTCCATGTTGCCTAGACAGCCTCGAAGCACTCTCCCAGAATTGCAGAATGTCTCTGCCAAAACGCTGTGAGGATGCAGCTAAACCCTAAACCCTAAACCCTAAACCCTAAACCCTAAACCCTAAACCCTAAACCCTAAACCCTAAACCCTAAACCCTAAACCCTAAACCCTAAACCCTAAACCCACCACGTGCCCAGATGGGGTTTCACCTTCTTTCTTGTTTTTGGTTGGTTTTTGGTTGGTGGGGGGCGTGGGGTCTTATAATGAGGGTTACCATACTTGGGGAAGTCCCTAGGTCTTTTCACAGCTCAATTTGGCGTTGCTCGTTTTCAGGGCTGATGCTGTTGCCGATGGGAATTCTTGTCCCCGAGGCTGCTTCTCTACCGCGACTTTACCCTGACAGTCGGCACGTTGTTTCAGGCACCATGTGGGGGTTTCCGAAACTAGGCGTACATATATTGGGGTCCTGACAACAAGGGAATCCTTCTACTATTTTTGGGGGTCTATTTTAGGGTCACCTATTTTAGTAAACCCCCATGTTGGAAAAATGGCGTCAGTCGAAGTTGCAGTGAGGGCGCTGTTGAAGTTCGATTTGAGCCAGGCCCTTAGCAGACTTCAACGTGGTATTTGGACCGCAGACTCCATGCTCCGGGGGCCACACAGAGCTTGGATTCTGGACGTGGACCTAGACACCTTCTCTACCTACGACCCTTTGCAGCTGAAAATGAGTACACTTTACAGGGTTTAGGGTTTAGGGTTTAGGGTTTAGGGGACTTTATACTTCTTGGGATACTATAATCCCCTTTCGAACTGAAAGTGTCCACTTTTTTTGGGCTTGTGAACTCAGCAACTGAGGACCCGGCACTTCGCTTGCTGCAGGAAGCAAATTTCAGCCAGAGCTTCGTGGACACTGCATCCAGCTTGTTGAACACCAACTCTGCTTGCTCTCAGCCGATAGACGATTCCGAGGGCACGAAGAGGCACCGGCATGGAGTCCATGGGATAAGGCTTGGGATGTTCACCCTTATATCCCATAAAATCCGGATTATAGTACCCCCTTATGATAATCCTTATTAAGAACTGTTCGTAGAAGGGGAAACATCCCAGGAGAAGGCTAACAACCTGCAGTCATGGGGCCAGATGCTAGAACAAGGACGTCGCTTCGTCTCTTTGACGGGTGTATGCAAATATGGCTACCCCCCCCCCCCCCCCCCAAAAAAAAAAAAAAACAGCATAACCCTTGTGATAAGAACCCCCAAACCCTAAACCCTAAACCCTAAATACACCATAAACCCTAACCCCTACAACGAAGGTACAAGGTGCCACCCATGCTTTAGACAACTCAGCCTCCCTTAGGGCCGTCCACATCAAACAGGCCCAAAGTTGTCTTCAAGGTTGTAACCCTAAACCCCAAGCCTTAAGCCCTAAACCCTGAACCCTAAACCCTAAACCCAGCTGCGCAGGAGTGAAAAAAAAACCCTAAACCCTAAACCCCAAACCCCAAACCCCAAACCCCAAACCCCAAACCCCAACCCTAAACCCTAAACCCTTGCCCTCGAATATCTTTGATGATATTTCTGCCAAAGGCAAGAGGCACTGGGGTCAAAGATGCTTGAAAGATTGTTGGCCGGCGCATCGGAAGTTAGCTGCGAAGCGCATGCCCACGCGGGAACTTCGTCTGGATGCTCTTTAAAGACCTGGTTGTCAGGAATGGTTGTGAGGCAGCTGGCAAAACAAGGATGCTGAGAACTCCGGGTGCACTCAGGATCCAGAAGCTGCCAGGTTCGGTAAAAATACTACAAAACTCCCCTGACACCGTTGATCGCAAGCCATCACAGCCAGAGCCCCTGGAGCCCCTTGAGTCAAGTCTACCTCGTTCTCCACTTGCGGTTCTATCTTGGGATGCGTAATGTTCATATGAATAGTCTTTGTTCTCCCCATGCACCTTGGTGCCCACACAAAGGAAGTCGAAGTACAGTGTAGTTCCCTCAGGCTCATGGGGCAACTGAATCGGGGAGTTGGCCAAGTCACAAAGCACATGTCGTGCAACTCTATGCAGGCTCATTGGATGTGGGTGCCTCTCTTCACGCCTTGACGAGGTAGAGGACCACAAGACCCTGTGCAGCCTTCACACTTCAGTCACATCCTAAACCCCTGAAGCCCTGAAGGACTACCGTGCCGCCTTGCTCCAGAATCTCAGTCACCTGCCTGCGACTCTCCGCTTCTTGGCTACAGTTCAGTGCCGGGGTGGCTGTATTTGGCACCGGCCCACTGCGGTCCTGCTGTGTGTTCACTTTAAGAGCTGCACCGCATGGATGCCCAGGCAGATTTTGACGACGGAAAGTCCACGTACTAAACCCTAAACCCTAAACCCTAAACTTGCCCTAAATCCTAAACCCTAAGTGCGATTGGTTGCAGCTGGCAGGGGCTGCACCTCACCATCATCGACTGCAGCTATTTCTCGAAGGCCTCGGGAAGCTTTGCATGCAACCCTAGACCCTTAACCCTAAACCCTTAAACCTTAACCCTCAAACCCTAAACCCTAAACCATGCACATGTCTGATCATGTTTCATGTCTGTCTCACTGCGCATACCCTCTACTCAAACGAGGTCGAACTTCGCCTTCTGGTGGTGCCTTTCAGTCCCTAAACCCTAAACCCTAAGCCCTAAGCCCTAAACCCTAAACCCTAAGATTCTGGCCCTGCAGGACTCGATGGCTGCGAGGTGGACCCATCTGCGGCCCAGTTGCTTGCAAACCTTTCCGTGGAGGACAGCCTTGGGGGTCACATACTCCACGAGGTCCCGCACGACCATCATCCCTATTAGGGTACCGTAAACCCTAAACCCTAAACCCTAAACCCTAATGGAGTCAGCTAGGCGGGTGGCAAAAAATCCCTAATGGACCACAACCTTTTTTTAGGGTTCATGTCGTCCCCAAGGCTTCCTGCTTCAGAGGATGCCCAGCAGCATGTTCTGCGGATTTTGGGCTGACGGCTTTGTAGGGTTTAGGGTTTAGGGTTTAGGGTTTAGGGTTTAGGGTTTAGGGTTTAGGGTTTAGGGTTTAGGATTCGCATTCGCATCTCCAACCCACGCCCGACACATGTGTGATGATGTACGCAGCAAGCTTTGGGCAAAGCATCCTGCAAGGAAGCTGAGCGTTGGCGCTGGGTCCTTGAAACGGCGCTGCAGGCACCCGCAAGAAAAGATAGTGATATTCCGTGAATATATCAACAGATATGATTTTGTTATCATGCCATTCTATGTCTATATTCGTATATGATTCCATGATTATATTCATAATATATTCTCATATCGTGATCATAATCATGGTGGGCCGAGAAATGAAGACTGCCCCATCCCGAAGTCCCGAGTTGAGTTGGGCCGAAGGGGGGGTGCATAGGACAAGCCGGGGGCTACATCTTTCTAAGGGTAGTTGCGTGGGCCACTAACATGGTCCCTTCTAACCTCCCCTATAAAGGATTCCGATGTATGGCCCTCAATGTGTGTAGGGTATATAAGGGGTCCCCTCTTAAGGTCCCATATACTAAGGGGCAGAGCATACGCTCTCAGGAAGGCCTCGACGATGACTTGGCCAAATCGATGCTGGAGGGGGCGATGGGTGTGGCTCCGGCAGCACTTGCTCGGAGATTCGGGCGGTTCTCTAAACTAGGGCCCCTTTTGCGGGGTCCCGTTTTTTAAAATAGATGCCGTGCTATACATAGGGCTCAACATCATGGTCCTAATGTAGAGAACTACGTACCCAGAAGGCCCGAAATGGACACCCTCGATGGCCAAGAATTCATGCCTTCCCTGCCACGTCAGAGGCCCACTCCAGGTCATGAGCCAGCTTTGCTCTGCTGAACCCTACACCCTTTAAACCCTGAACCCTAAACCCTAAAAACCCTATAAACCCTATAAACCCTATAAACCCTATAAACCCTATAAACCCTGAACCCTGCATCGTTGCAAGGTGCACCACGTGAGTCGCCGCCTTGCCAGCAGTGGGCATTTGTAAAATACTGTACTTTTTCTTTCTCGTTTGCTTGGGCCACAGGCGGCGAACAGTAATTGCTTCACCCGACTGTGTACGAGTGTGTCTGCATCCATCCCCTTCCCTGACATTCCTGAAGCCTCTTAACGGAGGAGAACGAAACGTCTTGAGCCTTACCAAAAATGCCTACTTGGAGGTTCAGGGTGCTTGTAACCCCAATTCTAACCCTACTTATAAGCCCCCTTGACTCCTCTAAGTAGGTTCTCAGGAGAATTATACCCGGGGTTACCAGTACCCATGAACCTCCAAATCCCTAAACCCTAAACGTAAACCCTAAAAGCCCTAAACCCTAAACCCTAAACCCTAAACCCTAAACCCTAAAAGCCCTAAGCCCCAATTTAAAGGCACTCAAGGCTTTCGAAGGGGCTCGCCGAGCTGTGCAGGAGGGGAAAGAGTGCTTGCAGACAGGGGATTTAGGGTTTAAGGGTTTAAGGGTTTAGGGTTTAGGGTTAGGGTTTAGGGCTTAGGGTTTAGGGTTTAGGGTTTAGCTTTCTAAGCTTGAAACCCAGGCTGGGAGGCGACGCGCCATCTAGAGGCTTTCAATGGCCTTCTGCGCCACTTTGCGCTGGTGCAGCCACCTGAGGCAACATACCAAACTACTAGGTACCCAAAGAGCCCAATACCCCTGAATTAAGGATTTATTCCTTAAACTATAATAAGGATCCCTTGGTGATTTAAGCTATATTCCTTAATTAAGGGGTATTGGGCTCTCTGGGTACACGGGCCATAGAAGGCGTTGCAATGGCACGAAGAAGTGCACTGTAACCCAAACTACTTGGAGGCTCATGGGTACTTCTAAGTAGCGGTTTAGGGTTTAGGGTTTAGGGTTTAGGGTTGCAGCGTCTTCGCAACAGAACCACTTGCAGAATTGCCCGCGTCACAGGCCGTGACCATTTCACGATCGAGGTCGCCACGTTTCAACAGGCAAGGCGTGGCCCTGCAGCAATGTTCCGAGACAGGAGGAGTGGCCCTCGCTCCAAGTCCCCAAGTAGGTACCTTCCAGAGAGTCTCTGGCCGGCAGTCGAGCACGAGGTGATGGCGGCCTTGACGCAGCTGGAGGGGGACAAAAGGGCGCATGCTCGCAGCATCCTCACATGCTCCCGAGCATTGCGTTCTTGAGCCGCATGAGTTTGCCTTATGTTGTTCAGCTGTGGATCTCTCACTCTCTCTCCTCTCTCTCTCTCTCTCTCTCGCTCTCTCTCTTGCTCTGATTTGCTTCATTGCAGCCCTCCGTCCCTCCACAGAGAACACAGAGTATCGGTTTGCACGGCCCTGGGTGCGTTTTGTGAGTCATGGTATTGTCCACCCCCCCACCCCACAGAAATGGGGCAAACCAGCACATCCACTCTTCGCAGGCCTTGTGGCATGTAGTGGTCTGGTCCAGGAGCATGAGAAAGGTTTCATGCTGGACAAATCCCCCGAAAACTGCGCAGCCAAGCCGGCTCTGAAATGCGATGCGCTAAAACACAGTGCATCATCTTGTGTACATTAACCCTGAGCTGCCATGGCAGCCGTGCGTTGGCGAGAGCTGCTTGCGGAGCTGACACGTGAGCTAGAACACCAGTCTGTGACGTGCCTTAGCACCATGGATTTGTAGTGTCCAAGGTGCCTGTTGCCTTGCGAACATGCGCGCGTGTTGCCACATGGGCACTTGCCAAAACTAGGGTGCCTCGAACATAGCCCAAACTGCGAAAGTCCATGTAAAGAACCCCCAGTCAAAGAAGAGTACCCCCAACATCTTGTTGATCTGCGCTGCACTTGAGGCTAAAAGAGCTTGAGACCGAGAACAAGCGTTTGCAGGACAGCCACTTTGGGCCACGTCACACCCTTGTGGGCGCGAGTACGCTTGTCAGATCTTGTCCGTAAACTTGAAAGTTCATGGGCAGTTACAAGTGGGGTTATAAGTGGGGTAACTATCATTCTAACGGTTGTGACCTTATTCAGGGACTTGTAACTTAACCCTACTTCGGCCCTACTTATAGCTACCCATGAACCTCCAAGTAGGCTCCCGTCAAGCAGAACGAAACCCAAAGGATCCACGTCCCTATATAGTATGAACTTTGGCCCTAAAGCTACTATATAGGAACCCCTTTAAGGCCCAAGTATATACTATATAGGTACATGGATCCTTTGGGAAAGAAGCCCGCGCACCCTGCGCAGGAACAGCAAGACCAGGTCCGGCATGTCTCGTCTGCCTTCCAGCTGGCAGGCCAAGATAGGGTTTTGGAAGGAAGGGGTTCACCCTAAACCCTAAACCCTAAACCCTAAACACTCTCTATCATATGTATATTTAATGGCTAATGGCTTCCCGGTTTTTCCACTAAAAATTCCCGGTTTTCCACCAAAAATTCCCGGTTTTCCACTAAAAATTCCCGGTTTTCCACTAAAAATTCCCGGTTTTCCACTAAAAACTCCCGGTTTTCCACAAATCCCGGTTTTCCACCAAAAATTCCCGGTTTTCCACTAAAAATTACCGGTTTTTCCACTAAAACTTCCCGGTTTTTCCACCAAAAATTCCCGGTTTTTCCACTAAATATTCCCGGTTTTCCACTAAAAATTCCCGGTTTTCCACTAAAAATTCCCGGTTTTCCACTAAAAATTCCCGGTTTTCCACTAAAAATTCCCGGTTTTCCACTAAAAATTCCCGGTTTTCCACAATCCCGGTTTTCCACTAAAAATTCCCGGTTTTCCACTCTAAATTCCCGGTTTTTCCACTAAAACTTGCCGGTTTTTCCACCAAAAACTCCCGGTTTTTCCACTAAAAATTCCCGGTTTTTCCACTAAAAATTACCGGTTTTTCCACTAAAACTTCCCGGTTTTTCCACCAAAAATTCCCGGTTTTTCCACTAAATATTCCCGGTTTTCCACTAAAAATTCCCGGTTTTCCACTTAAAATTCCCGGTTTTCCACTAAAAATTACCGGTTTTCCACTTAAAATTCCCGGTTTTTCCACCAAAAAATTCCCGGTTTTTCCACTAAAAACACAGGTTTTCCACCAAAAATTCCCGGTTTTCCACTAAAAAGTCCCGGTTTTTCCACTAAAAATTCCCGGTTTTTCCACTAAAAATTCCCGGTTTTCCACCGAAATTTCCCGGTTTTCCACCAAAATTTGCCGGTTGCTCGGGGGGCCTACTCTGGGCTGGCTTTAGGGTTTAGGGCCTACTCTGGGCAGGCTTTAGGGTTTAGGGCCTACTCGGTACTGGCTTTAGGGTTTAGGGCCTACTCTGGGCTGGCTTAGGGTTTAGGGCCTAGTGTGGGCTAGCTTCTGGGCTGGCTTTAGGGTTTAGGGCCTACTCTGGGCTGGCTTTAGGGTTTAGGGCCTACGCGGGGCTGGTTTTATTGAGGTTAGGCTTTGCTCTGGGCTGCCTTTTGGGTTTAGGGCCCACCCGGCAGCCGACTGAACCAAAAATTTTAAGATTAAAACATAAAGTAAAATATTTTCATAATGTTATGGGATCCACTGGGTGGGTGGGTCGATATTCGATACCGGAGTAAGGAGCTCTACTAGTGAAATGCTTGGACTTGAGATGCTGAACCCTAAACCCTAAACCCTAAACCCTAAACCCTAAACCCCTGGCCCGCAGGACAGAGAGACTCAAAAGGAATGACAAGCATCGTCACAGCTCCGAGAGTGGACGAACTCTTCACAAAGGCCGTGGCCTTGCAGGGTTTAGGGTTTAGGGCTAGGGTTTAGGGCTAGGGTTTCGGGTGCAAGCTGCGACATGCCAGGACCCAAAAGACCAACCCCAGCTCGACTTTCCGGGCGGGCCTAGGACTTCGTTTTCGGGATCACTCGATGAGCGCTGGCGAGAAGTCAGCAAGAGGTCCCATCACCTCAACAAGCCCTGGTACATGATCGACCCGGAGAGCGCATGGTATCTTAGTAGTAGAGTAGATGACCTTTACCCCTTAGAATCCCAAAGGTTAACCTTGAATTCCCCCAAGGATGCTGGGACAAGTAAGGTATGCCTCTGGCTGGCAGGTCGTGGTAGGATTTGCTTTGGCCTACGTTGCCATCGTGACCCCGCTGCAAATTGGCCTTTTCCCCATCACCTTGGACCTGATGCTCTTGGTCAGCCTCGCTGTGGACGCCATCTTCTTGATGGACTTAATCCTCCAGTTCCTTGGGGGGGCCAAATGAACCAAAAAGTTGGGGGTCACATGCCCTATACTACTATAACTCCTAGTAAGGTATATAATGAACCCTAAAGTTGGGGTCATATGCCCTATACGACTATAACTCCTACTAGGGTCTATGGACCCTAAACCCTTTTAGGGCTCATTTCCTAGGTTCTTCGTCATGATCTCCGTGTCTACTTACCGCGGCCTGCGCCGTGAAGTGCGACTGAGCAAAGTGGGCCTTCACTACTTGAAGCACTGGTTCCTCATTGACGCCCTTGCCGTCATACCCTGGGACTTGATAGGCCCCGGCCATGGGGGCCACCATGGGGAGGTTGTAGGTTTAGGGTTTAGGGTTGAGGGAAAAGGGTGTAGGGTTTAGGGTTTAGGGTTTCGGGCAGCAAAGCACAAACCTTTGCATTTGCAGCATGTGGGCCCGTGGGCCATTTCCTTGGGCATTCTTCTCATCTTGCCTTCCACCTCCTGTTTCCAGGCCCCTAGGCACTTGGCGCAACTGATGCAAAATGCAGCCTGAACCCCATAAAACCAAAGAACAAAAGGTTTGCCGCCAAACCCTGAACCCTAAACACTAAACCCTAAACCCCAGTCCGCAAGACCGCATGCATAAACCCTAAACCCTAAACCCTAAACCCTAAACCCTAAACCCTAAACCCCCCCCCATGTATTGGCATTCTCCACAACCCTGGCACGGGCGGGGAGGGATGCAGCGGCTTCCTTGTTAAAACACGGCTAAAGCTACCAAAGTTTAGGGTTTAGGGTTTAGGGTTTAGGGTTTAGGGTTTAGGGTTTAGGGTTTAGGGTTTAGGGGTTTAAGGGTTTCAGGGTTTAGGGGTTTAAGGGTTTAAGGGTTTCTGGGTTTCTGGGTTTAAGGGCTTAAGGGCTTAAGGGCTTAAGGGTTTAAGGGTTTAAGGGTTTAAGGGTTGAAGGCTTGAAGGGTTGAAGGGTTTAAGGGTTTAAGGGTTGTTTCCGAAAAAGGGCGGCCCGGCCAACCACTTTAAAGATCCATCAGCACCTATGATAGCATGATATAAACATCGTAGCAGATCATCAATAGCATTATGTTACGTGATCATAGTAATTTGTGACTGCTATTGATAGTTCGAATATATGTTCACAATGTTAAGAATGTTAAGAAGATCAAGAATGTTGAAAAACAGTGGTAATATTCATAATACTCATCATATGAATGATGCTAATAATGTTAATAATATTTATTCTACCCATTGTAGATGATAGTATAATAAAAATATTATTATTAATACTAGCAATATAATGAATATTAAATTCAGATGGTAAAAATATTAAACTAGTAATGAATATTGGTATTATTACAAACTATTAGAAATATCTATCATATTGATCATATGAAGAATATTAATAATACTAATAATATTAATAATATTAATAACATTAATAATATTAATAATATTTATAATATGAATAAAAATTATAATACGAATAATAATTTCAATAATATCAATAATAGTATTGATATCATTGATATTATTGATATTATTGATATTATTGGTATTATTGATATTATTGATATTATTGATATTATTGATATTAGTGATATTATTGATATTATTGATATTATTGATATTCATCATATCAATCAAAAAATCAAGGAGGTTTGTAAAAACGACTTTTTTCGACTTTGAGTTTCTGGTTGGGGGTAGGGTTGAAATGTTCAGAGGTTGTTCTCGTGGAGCCTGGGGTCTAGAAGCTTATAAGGCTGTGGGTTTACGGGCTTGGAGATGCATTGTTGATGATGGTGATGATGGTGATGATGTAGGGCGGGTAGAAGGGCTTCAAAGAAACAGGTGCTTGGGGGTTTACGTGTTTCAGGGCGTCGAGTTTCGGATCCAAAGCTTGGGTTTGGGCTGCCGGGTTTAGCTGGTTGCGGTGGGGGGTAGGGGGTGGGGGGTGGGGGGTTGCGCGGCTGCCGGCTGCCGCCGCGGACCAAAGCCTTGCGTGGCAAGGCGGGGGCCTTCGGGTTTGCGGTTGGCCTTTAGATTTTTCCAGCGAGACCTTGCTGGTCTTGGCTGCCTTCCTTGCAACGGCCCAATCCCGCGACCCGGACATGGCGGCAGGTCACAGCCACAGCTTGAGCAGACAGAGGGCTGATGAGCATACCGCAGTACAGGAAGGCTGGACTTGTATCCGGCCCTGCGGAAGAGAAAGACCAAAACCCACAGCAAGGCACGACTGTCATGTGCAAAGCCAGAGTTTTTCAAATTTATCACCGGGGATGTGCGGTCGGATTTGTATCCGGCCCCGTGGATGAGAAAAGCTAAGCACCACATGAAGGCACGACTGTCATGTGCAAAGCCAGTTTTTGTATCACTGGGGACGCGCGGTCGGATTTGTATCCGGCCCCGTGGATGAGAAAAGCTAAACGACACCGGGGATGCACGGTCGGATTTGTATCCGGCCCCGTGGATGACAAAAGCTGAAAACCACATGACGGCACGACTTTCATGTGCAAAGCCAGGTTTTTTTTTTCACCGGGGATGTACGGTGGGATGAGTATCCGCCTGTACTAACGCTCAGCCACGCGAAGGTATTTGCCCATGGGGCCCCCAAAAAACCCTCGGACAGCCCCAGCGCATGTACGGTCGGATTTGTATCCGACTGTACTAGCCAAGGAAAAAAAACACACTGGCCTTGCACAGTCAAACCTTCAAGTTGTCTTCGCATTTTCTCATCCACGAGGCCGGAAGATCGGATTTGTATCCGGCCCCGTGGATGCCAAGAGTTCTCAGATTCCTCGCAGGGCCGGACCGGATGCCCGGATTTGTATCCGACCCCGTGGATGACGAAAGTCGTCCGATTGAGGGCAAAGGGGCCGGATTTATATCCGGCCCCGTGGAGTAAACACAAACCACCGACTCATGAGGGGCCGTATGGCCGGATTTGTATCCGACCCCGTGGATGAGAAAAGTTGTCAGATTGACTGAGGGCCAGGGGGCCGGTGATAAATTTGAAAAACTCTGGCTTTGCACATGACAGTCGTGCCTTGCTGTGGGTTTTGGTCTTTCTCTTCCGCAGGGCCGGATACAAGTCCAGCCTTCCTGTACTGCGGTATGCTCATCAGCCCTCTGTCTGCTCAAGCTGTGGCTGTGACCTGCCGCCATGTCCGGGTCGCGGGATTGGGCCGTTGCAAGGAAGGCAGCCAAGACCAGCAAGGTCTCGCTGGAAAAATCTAAAGGCCAACCGCAAACCCGAAGGCCCCCGCCTTGCCACGCAAGGCTTTGGTCCGCGGCGGCAGCCGGCAGCCGCGCAACCCCCCACCCCCCACCCCCTACCCCCCACCGCAACCAGCTAAACCCGGCAGCCCAAACCCAAGCTTTGGATCCGAAACTCGACGCCCTGAAACACGTAAACCCCCAAGCACCTGTTTCTTTGAAGCCCTTCTACCCGCCCTACATCATCACCATCATCACCATCATCAACAATGCATCTCCAAGCCCGTAAACCCACAGCCTTATAAGCTTCTAGACCCCAGGCTCCACGAGAACAACCTCTGAACATTTCAACCCTACCCCCAACCAGAAACTCAAAGTCGAAAAAAGTTCAAAGTCGTTTTTACAAACCTCCTTGATAAAATCAATATCGATAATACTAGCGATATTTGTAGTCTTCATCATGTTGATAATATGAATAGCCTAGTCACATTAAGCATATTCGTCATATTTTAAAATTAATCGTTTGAGTAAGACTACTAATACTGATACTTTTGATAAAAACGAATAATTGGCTAATGATATTGAGGATATGAATATCAAGAATATTAAGAAATATTCGGGAGTTTGGTCTGATAGGTGTCCTTCAAGCAGAATACTCCGCATCGGCTGGCATCACGCGCTTGATTCGCGTCCTGTGGATGCTGAAGATGCTGCGCCTGGCGAAGCCGTCGAGGTGGGTTTAGGTTTAGGGTTTAGGGTTTAGGGTTTAGGGTTTAGGGTTTAGGGTTTAGGGTTTAGGGTTTAGGGTTTAGGGTTTAGGGTTTAGGGTTTAGGGTTTAGGGTTTAGGGGCCTGCTACAAAACGGTTTAAGGGTTTAGGGTTTATTTTGCTTTTGAGCAATTTCCGGGCCGAAGCGAAGAGCTGCAATGGAGCGCAATGGTTGCAGGGTCCGAGAAGTCACGAGCTGGTTTCTAGCTGTCAAGAGGCATAATCAACCATAAACCCCCTGAACCCTGAACCCTAAACCCTAAACCCTAAACCCTAAACCCTAAACCCTAAACCCTAAACCCTAAACCCTAAACCCTAAACCCTAAACTAAGGGACTAAAGGAGGGACCCTTCTAAGGGACCTTAGGGGTTGTTTAGGGGGTATTTAGAGGCTACATAGGTATGTAGGGACTATATAAGGTATATGTAGGGGTTATTTTAGGGGAATAAGATTAGGCTTCTGGGGGTCCCTCCTTTTACCCCCGTAAAGCTAGTTTTCCTGGGACAACAAGTCATGTCCGGTGACTGTTGTTTCGGGGCGGGTTTGGGCATATATATATATATATATATATATATACACATTTTGCTTTACATATATGCATAAAAATATATAGATATAGATATACGTATTTGTTTTTTTACATATATGTATGCATGCATATGTATATATATATATATAATATTTATGATAGGTTACCAGGTCTCAACATAAGGCACAGACCACACAAGAAACTGGGCAGGATACTTCACAAAATCGAGATCCCATACTCCATCCCGTACCAACAGCAGCTTGCGCTGGTACGCTTTCTCGGCGTTTTGGCGATGATCTGCCATTGGTTGGCATGCGTTTGGGCTATGACGCTACAGGTCGTCGACGAGGCGTTCAGGGTTTAGGGTTCAGGGTTTAGGGTTACGGTTTAGGGATTGCCTTCCTGCATGCGTGAAGGTTCATGGGTACTTCTGAGTGGGCGTCTAAGTACCCTAAATAAGGTTACAACCATAGTTCCCCTACTTCTAACCCTACTTATGAGTACCCAATGAACCTCCAAGCGTGGCAACGGCCTGCTCTACAGCACACGCTTGACATCGTGCGCCAGGAATTTCCTCGCTGGATCGACGACATCGCAGAAGTGGATCAACGATTTGGCCACTTGCCTTGTGTATTTAATTGACCGACACAAGCTGAGTCTGACTCAGTGACTAGAGTGGCTAGAGTGCCGAACTCCTGGAACCTGGCAGTGTAACACACCCTAAACCATAAACCCTAAATCCTAAACCCCCTAAACCCCTAACCCTAAACCGACTGAGAATGCGTAAAGAGTTGGCATGCCGGCAGCTTGCTGTGACAGGATTCGAAGAAAACAGCTCGCTACGCACCTACATTGCAGCCTTCTATTTCTGCAGTGCCTCGGCAAATTTTGGCATCTACTCCACGGTAATATGCATGGGAGAAATTGCAACTCCATACTCCAGCATCCTCCCGAAGTCTGCGTGTGCTTCCCAGATCTCGCGTCCGGAAGCGAATCCCAAAATTCTGCGTGACTCCCACGCCGTCCTAGTTGCAACAGCGCGCTTTGCGCACTGTCGCTGAGCATGGCGGGGTATGTAGAAATTCACTGCGACATGTAGGAGAAGGGAGGGAGAAAGTGGGAGAAGAAGAAAAAGAGAAGGAGTGGAGAGAGACCGATATATCTAGTCATTCTAATCGTAGTCCTCAGGCCCTAAACCCTAAACCCTAAACCCTAAACTCCTAAACCCTAAACCCCAAAGAGATCATGTTAAGGGGCTGGCCCTGAGGCTACACCATGACATCAGTTGGGTATGGCGATCTCGGCCCCCAGAACATCTTGGAGCGCATTGTGTGCACCATGATGGTTATGTTCCTGATCTGAGTTTAGAGAGTGTAGAGTTTAGGGTTTAGGGTTTAGGGTTTAGGGTTATGCTCGCTAGTGAGCGTGATGCTGGAACCGGGCTGCTGTGAACCGAGGCCTGCTGTAAAAGGGTTTAGGGTTTCGGGTTTAGGGTTTAGGGTTTAGGGTTTCAGTACTGGCTGGTCCCCCAGCCCGGTTGCAAAAAGGGTTTAGGGTTTAGAGGGGTTGAGGCGGTTGGACATGCAGGAAAGGCCCCAGTTGCAGTCATCGGTAGGGGAAGGCATTGTCGGAGAAGTCCTGCACGGGCTGCACATTGCCATGCGGAAACCCCTCCAATGTCATACGCGCGATCTGTAGGATACACTTGAGTCGTTGGCGGCTGTTCTAAACGAGGGGGGGGCCCTTTTTGCAGAGCAGCCTACACTTTGCGCCGCGAAGGCTCTCGGGACTTTGTTGGGCCTACGTCATCGGCCAGGTCTGCACAATTGTGGCGGACATCAATGCTGAGAGTCAAGAATTCCGCCAGAGAGCCTCGGTCCTCTCTTGCCCTAAACCCGAAACCCTTTGGAGCTCTCGAGTCCGGTAGCTCCACTAGAACCCAATGAATGCCTTCTAGACAGCTTCATCTTCCACCAGTCCGTTCTTCTGTCGGGTTTTAAAGAGTCGCCCCCCCCCCCCCCCCCAAAAAAAAAAAAAAAAAATGGGTGTGCCACAAAGAAAAGGAATGCACCACCTGAACATGATGATGGAAGAGGAGCATCTTCCACACCAGCTGAAGGCGCGGGTGCGGGAGTTCTTCCTGCACAACCGAGATCCTTTGTCATATAGTTGGGTACCATCTTACCTTTTTTAAGGGTACTTAAACCCAATTAAGGAATATATAAATTTAAATTTTTGATCTTCTCCCAACCATGAACTAGGATCAGGCGAGGCACCTCACCCAGCAATCGCTGCTCGATGCCATGAGCCCTCAGTTGAAGGCGGAGGTCGCTACGGTGGTGAACTTCCCCTGGTTGGAGCGCGTGACCTTTTTCAACCGCTTTGTCCGGAAGATCGAGGAGCTCCAAGGCCAAGGAATCTCCGTGGCGCCGTACCGCGCGTGCATCGCGGACATCGTGCGCCAGCTCAAGAACGTGGCCTATGCACAAGGGGAGTTTCTGACCACGCTCCGTGTGCTGAGCATCTTGTCCAAAGGCCTCGTGCTGCGGTCAAGCAGACTTGAGCATAAGGGCAGCGTGTGGGGCGAAGATTTCGTATTATCCGACAAATCCATGGTGCGCCCTGTGCATGGCTATGCATTGACGTACATGGAAGTTCTATGCCTTTCACGCGACGACTTCATGGATGTTATTGCGAAGCACAGCGTTACTTGTCCCCGACTTGGGCAAATCGTCCGGCGCTACTGTGTGCGTGTTGCTGTCCGTCGCGGCATTCTTGCAGAAGCAAGGCTGCGAAAGCATGGGCACGCCAGGCAGGCCAGCACGTTTCAGCTATCGCTGTAGGCATGGAGGCACTACAGCTTTGATGATCCATAAGCATTGGGACTGCCAGACTCAGTTATAAATCCCCCTTTGGAATTATTTTTATTTTTTCATATAAAACCCAAGAGGGTATTAACATATTTTGTTTATTAAGGTTCTAAGGGGAGTATAGAGTTGTTTGTTGTAGGCCTGTTCTGTAGGCGACTTGAGTTCTTGTGCCGCCGTGCCACTGGATCTTCGCAAATGCGAGAGTCCAGCTGAAGCCAGTACATGGGGCAAAGTCCCTGACATAAGGGCTGTCTTGGAAGCGATGGCACGGTAAAAGATGTGCTGACCGTCTTCCTGAGTCTTCGATTTTCGCTCCCTTCACTTGCTCCCAGTCCCAGTGGCTGCTTGAATTCCTGGAGCCCTGCATCTGGCTCAAGCAGCTGAGGGCACGTGCAGTGCCGACAAAAACAACCCTGGACCACTGAACGGCGTTTCTGAGCAAGGACAGGTTATGACTCTATAGGTTCAGAAGGCTACTGTGCTAGCCGCGTACTCTGACTCGACACGGCATGATGCCTCCAGAACGCACTTGGGCGGGAACTAAGCGCCATCATGCTGGAGGAGGAGGCAGGAAGAGTCCCGTCTACCACCCCAAACCCGATTTCAGGCTTTACATACTTAAACTGCAAAAAGTAGGCTTCGGGTTCTTAAGGCATTTGTTTATAGCATGGCAAATGGCAGATGTAGAGCTTAAGCCATCTGTTTTCAGTACAAGTTCCAGGTTTGTACTGCCGTCTTCGGCTGGTTTCCAAGTCTTGTTCTGCAGATGTGCAGGCAAGGGTGCTCCACGTACGCGCAAGCGACGAAAGTCTGCCAGTCCTGACAAGAGCGGCGGAGAGGCATGGGGGATGGCCGCTTGTGATGCTTTGCTATAGCAATTCTCTGCAAGTTTGGCCTAGCTCTCCGGTCATAGAAAGTCATAGACCTCCTGAAGACTCTACTTGGAGGTTCATAGCTGGCGATAAGTAGGGTCATAAGTACCCTAAAGAAGGTTATAACCAGTTAAAGTTCTAGTTGCCCACTTATCGCTGCCCGTGAACCTCCAAGTAGGGCGCTTGGGCAGCCCTAAACCCTAAACCCTAAACCCTAAACCCTAAACCCTAAACCCTAAAACAAAAGAACAACGCAGGTGCCTCCGGGAGTCGACGCGGTGCGGAAAGCGGTTCATCAGTTTGGAATCGTGGGCGGCGAGGACTACGACTCCAAGGTGCTTCCAGCAGCATGAGGGTTTAGGGTTTGGGGTTTAGGGTTTAGGATTTAGGGTTTAGGGTTTGCATAATTAGGTCGAGGAGAATACTAGGAGGTTCATGGATACTTACAAGTAGGGCTATAAGTAGGGGAACTATGTTATAACCCCTATTTGGGAAATTTAGAGCCCCACTTAGAAGTACCCGTACACTGGCATGCCCTGAGGATGAGCGCCTGCAACAGCTTCTAGATCGCCTTCCCGCAGATTCGGGCGAGACCCCTAGACGCGCAGCATATGGCATAGGCCAGGCATCTGAGTGTCTTCCTGTGAGTGTCTGAGTGGGCGGAATGTCCCAGGCTGTTTCACAGCTCAGGCGGCCTCCAATGAAAGTCTCAAGAAGCAACCCTGTCCCACCCGAAGACCGTCTGAGCTTTCGCGCCCACTGAGTAGGCGAAATGACTCTGTGTAATTCCGTGCGCGTACAGATGCCCCCACCCAGCAAAGATACGCAAACTGCGTCTCCTTCCAACTTCACGGCTGTATGGCTGCCTTCTTTTCTTTCCAGAAGGCTTCCAAGCTAGATCCGACAAACCTGCTGGTCCACCGGTCCTAGGGGAGAAGCGTTAGAGTCAGAGTTGGACAGCAACGAAGATGACGGGCGCCTACCAAGACCGGTGGAACACCGAAGGAAAAGGGAGGTTTTGGGGCTGGGGTTTAAGTTCTGTATACCCTTTTCCACTCAGACTTGCACTGGAACTGCGGGTAGTACTGTCTTCGCCTTACCGGGAGCCGCGAGGAGGGGCACAAGCAAAAGCAAGCTTTTACATGCTCGACGTATCAATAGTAATCACTCAGCAAGCAGAGGGCAACGAGGCGATTCAGAACCAGCAAGAGAACACTAAACCCTAGCCCTAAACCCTAAACCCTAAACCCCTACCCCGCATTGCTGTGGCTAGTCGGGTGGCAAAAAAAAAACCCTACCATTCTCAACCCTAAACCCCAAACCCCTTCTCCATGGACGCCCAAGGTCCTGCGATTGTGTTTGCCAAAGCAGCTTCGCAAGCGCAGGCGCCCGACGTCCTCGCTCCGAAACCCAGGAACTGCACTTGGAGAGTAGGGTTTGGGGTTGAGGGTCTAGGATTTAGGAAACTTGTTGAGGTTCCAGAAATCAGCTGTGCAGAAGCCTGACCGAACTTACTGTTGCTTAGTAGGGAGTTGGGGGGGTCAGTAGGGAGTTGGGGGGGGGGGGGGGGATGTATATAATCCCTTAAAGGGTATATACTTAGGGATACTTGGAAATACATTTTAATTTTCAGGAATTTTGATTCCTAAGAAACAGCTAAAATTCAAAAACCAAACTGCTAGGGTTCCAAGTTCAATTTTATTCATAGGGCCCGAATTCCCTCATTCCCTGCTAGCAAACAGTAACCCAGAGGGTCCATTTGTAGTACCATTATGGCATTAGGTACCCAAAATCCCTTCGAAATAGGGTTTTGGGGGTACCTATTTCCATAATAGTAGTACAAGTGGACCCTCTGGGTAAGATAACCCTAAGCCCTAAGCCCTAAGCCCTAAGCCCTAAGCCCTAAACCCTAAACCCTAAACCCTAAACCCTAAACCCAACCAACAGTAAGATAACCCATGTGTGGCGGAGGCTGTGGCAGTCGTTGACAGAAGTCGGCGCAAAGCCGCTCAGACCAAATTCAAGAGGGCCAGAGCACAGGAGCTTGAGTTCCCGGCACATAGGGGTTTAGGGCTGAGGGTTTAGGGTTTAGGGTTTGCTGTGATGGGGCGTAGCTGCTGTGAAGGTTAGGTTTTGGAACAAGCTCGAAAGCTTCGTGAAGTGCGAAGCGCAGCTTTGGCCTGATTGTGGAGGGCCATCTAACACTTTTCTCCCACCCCACGCAGTCCGAGGCGGCAAAGCCACCCAAACCTATTCCTTTTAGGGTTTAGGCCTAAACTCAAGGCAACAGTCCACTTCGAAAATCATAGTCAGTTTCATGGCGTTCGGGGTTGGGTCCGAGGGTCAAAGGAATGGGGTCCCGTGCAGAACTAGGGGGAATGCCGGTGGGTCAGCCAGGCAGGGGCGCCAGTCAGCGACCAGCACCAGGAGCGGGTCAGGGGAGTCAGGGAGCCGGGGGCCAACAATTTCAGGGGCCAGGGGGGCCAGGGGGCCAGGGGGCCAGGGGGCCAGGGGGCCAGGGGGGCCAGGGGCCTCACAGCAAGCTGTCTTGAGCGAAAGGGGATTACGGATTGGCGTATAACCGTTCCGACTTCATGTTTCAAACTGTATGCTCAAGCATAAGAACTCCAGGACCTTTTCCTTCTCAATCTTGTGGCCAAAAAGGTAGTTGGGGGAAACTTACACACGAGCAAGCTTATGCACTAACGCATTTCTGCACTGGCCACCTTCGTGGCGGATGGAGCGAGCGCGTTCACTCATCCCCCTTGCGTGTAAAAATAAGGAAAGCACATAAGCGGGGCGGATTCGAGCGGGTGCAACTTCTGTGAACGTAAGGGCCCCTCTTAAAGCATATGTTTAAAACACAGGGCTCACGCTTTCCATGGCTCAGAGACTTTGGATGCAAATTAAACTGTTGATCCATGCGTCAAACAAAATACACAAGGCCAGGGGGGGCAGGGACCTCCTAACACTCCCAAAGCCCCGAAAGCCACCCTAAACCCTAAACCCTAAACCCCCTATACGCCCCTATAACCCCCTATAACCCCCTAAAACCCCCTATCACCCTCTCAGCGCAAGCAACTCGGGGGGCCAAAGGCGCTGGCGGCCGCCGCTCGGAGTCGTGCGGGCCGTGTCAAGGCCCAGAGTGAAGCTTCGTGAGGTAGGAAGTGGGGTTTAGGGTGTAGGGCGTAGGGCTTAGGGCTTAGGGTTTAGGATTTAGGGTTTAGGGTTTAGGGCTAGGGTTTAGGGTTTACTGTAGGCTTTTCGGGTGGGATTATAAGTACCCTAGGGTGATTTCCCATACTGACCCTATGACCCTACTTGTAAGTGAGCTGAAAAGAGCCCTACATAAGGTCATAACCCATAGCAACCCTACTAGTAGCCGCTTCTTATCAGGTCCCATGAGCCACCAAGTGTGGGGGTTCCCCTAAACCCTAAACCCCAAACCCCAAACCCTAAACCCAAAACCCTAGTTGAGGATCTAGAGTCTACAGGGTTCCAAAGGGCCAGATGTGGATTCTCAGGGCTTGCTGTAAAAAGACAGGGTTCGAAAGGGCAATTAGGGTTTAGGGTTTGGGGTTTGGGGTTTGGGGTTTCGGGTCCTTTGGGCTGTTGAACGGATCGGCAGGAGAGGCTTGTGCTTGTGCTGTTGACACCTGTAATGTTGTTGCGCGAAGTGGACCCTTCCATCAGTTGACAATCTCGAATCTCGAACAGCCCTCTTTGCATGGTCCCCACGCCAAGTCTCTGGAATTAGATTGAGGTTTAGGGTTTAGGGATTAGGGTCCTCAACCCAAACCCAGCTTTCTGTTCTACTTGGTAAAGTTGCCTCGTGGGAATTGTTGCAGCATGGCCAAACTGTTTATGAGGAGTAGATACTGAGAAGCATAGGGGATTCTACAGCGGTACCTACCCCCCTTGACTCCCTCCCTTAAGGACACATGGCAAGTTGTGGACTCTTGTGTGCACGAGGCTGTGGAAGCCGCAGTGTCTACAAACACAGCGGGAGGCACACCTAAATGCTGGGTTAGGTTTTAGGGTTTAGGGTTTAGGGTTTAGGGTTTAGGGTTTCTATGTCTCAAAGTCCGTTGCTCAAGGGTTTCAATGTCGATAGCAGCTTCATCGCCCCAAATTGCGCAGATGCTCCGCTGAGCGAGAAGCTCGACCCTGAGATGAGCAGGCAAGGTCAGGGACTTGGTGGACGTTCTGGCATGTGGGTTTAGGGTTTAGGGTTTAGGGTTTGCTTGGGCCTAGCCTTCACTGCTTGGTGATGGTGGGCATTGGGGTTTGGCGAGAAATGAGGACATGCATGAGCTGAAACGAAACCGCCAGAGAAAGTGCGTGGCCTGGCAGTTGGACGCACGACTGGGCGTGCGGGCGCTGCACCCTCATCAATGGCTGGCTAGCTGAAGAGCCACCTGGCCTGGTTGGCAGTGATGAGGACAGGCAGACACAACTGGTAAAGTCAAGCTCTATAGACTTGGCAAGCTAACAAAAACTTGGCGGTTCCAACCCTAATCCCTAAACCGTTTAAACCCCTGAACCCTAGAATGGCATGTCTGAGGAGTTGCTGGCTTTGCCAACCTGTTTCGACCCACCTGGGCTGTTGCAAGCTAAGGTGCACGGCCTGTGGCGCTAGGACTGCCCAGCTGCCGCTGTGTGCAGATTCGCAGATTCTACTGGGAGCATCTTCGTGAGCCCGATGCTCCCCAAAGTTGAGGGAGCATAGACCTTACCTCGGGTAACAAAAGGGCTTGTGTAGGTTAAGATCGATGGGGGTATTGGGCTCCGTGTGGGCCGCGATGGAGGAGAGGAGCCTTTCCCAAAGTTACAGCACCTGAGCTGCACAGAAGAAACCCTAAACCCTAAACCCTGAACCCTGAACCCTGAACCCTGAACCCTATGTAGAGCTGCTTTTTCCTACAAGTGATGCCCAGCATGTTCTCAGCATCATCGGTTCCACGTAAGGTCGCCGTGGCCGATGAGAAGGCCAATGCCATTGGGGTTTAGGGTTGTTTAGGGTTTAGGGTTCAGGGTTTAGGGTTCAGGGTTTAGGGTTCAGGTTAGGGTTTAGGGTTTAGGGTTTAGGGTTTAGGGGGCGGGGAGGGGAACTGCAGGTGTTGGGCTTGGCTTCAGAGGCTACAACCCACCCCTTTGAACGATGCTACGAAGCCCGGTCTCGGATTTTCAGATAACCTTCGCAGTTCGTAAAGCAGCAAGGTAGTGTCTAGGTACCCTGACGCTGCCATGCACAAGCCCTGTTGAGAGCAAGCCACGGGGATTTGGTTTCTCCGGGAGAACCAAGGCATCATGAGCTAACCGTCTTCTGCACATGCCACCGCACGTATCCGCAAAGTGGGGCGTCGCTTTGAACGCGCGCGCGCGCGCGCGCGCGCGGTTGGGCTTTACGGAAGTCTGGGGTGAATTGATCCCATCGCATGCAGGTGGGCCGAAAACCCAACTCCGTTCTCATGCTGCCTTAGCATGACAATGGTTTTTGTATTCCTTTCGTGCTATCGCAGGCAAACATCCGCCCGGTCCTTGGTCCACAGAAGCACCAGCCTCTGAAATCTGAATCTGCAACCTCCACCCACTATACGGCACTAACAATCTTCTCCTTCGTAGGAGTTCTTGGTTTGTTCGAAGAACAACCCGCCACACGTACACGCGCGGTGCTTAGGAAGCTTATCGTGGACACCGGGGAGCTGCCAGCAACTCGCCTGCATCGGAAAATGTGGGTTTAGAGTTTAGGGTTTTAAGACAAAAAAAGGTTTTGAGAGTTTAGGGACAAAAACGCTGTCTTCTGGGTTTAGGGTTTAGGGTTAACTTTTGATCGACTGCACGCAGGTCCACGAGGTTTCTAGCGCCCTCAGTACATGTCAACTCTTGCTTGCTTTCTTGAACGTAGCCTGCAAAAAACGATAGTTAAAGTTATCCAGACCTCAAAAAGCCCATATTTTTTCATTAACCCCCCCCCCAATAAACATGTGTCTGTCTGTATGTATGTATGCATGTATGTATGCATGCATGTATGCATGTTTGCATGTTTGCATGGTTGCATGTCTGTATGTCTGGATGTATGTACGTACATATATATATATATTTACATATATACAATATATCCATATGTGTATATAAATATATACATATAGATGTATCTAACCTATATCGAACTCATCAGCTCGCATCAAGTACCCAACACCTCCCCGCCACCCCTCCGCCCCAAACTTTTCGGATCCTCATCAAGCCCCGAGTCTCCCAACCTAAACCCTAAATCCTAACCCGCCCCAAACCCCGAGGATCCTCATCAACTACGACGTGGCGCGCAGCGCGGCCGAGTACGTGCGCCGCCTGGGAGCGCTGGAGCCACAAGAGGCGTTCCTTGGGCCAGCCATAAACCTATAGCCCCTCAAGAATTATGCACAAAGGGAAACCCGCAAGTGACGTGGCAGAAATATTAGGGACCCTAAGCCCTAAACCCTAAAACCCTACAAACCCTAAAGCCCTAAAACCCTAAAGCCCTAAAACCCCAAAACCCCAAAACTCTAAAACCCTAAAACCCTAAATCGGCCCTTGATGCGCACCGAGTATTGCATAAATATGGGCCCTTAGGTGCCAACAACAGGAGCTTTGGGGCTCAGTCCGTTTTCAGGTGATTCCATACTTTCAAGGGACTATATAAGGTATATAAGACGCGGTATATGTACAACAATATAGGTTTTATATATGGGTTATGTGTATATATATATACAACAATATAGGTTTTATATATGGGTGTTATGATAAGATCTAGGGTCCATTCTAGGGCTGCATGCGGGAGCCAAGGAACAATCCGCGATTTCCGCGCAACTCTGCCGCAAAAAAGGGGGGTTTCATGCGAAGTCTCTGTGTGTCTTCGTGCAGTACTTTCACAGCGGGCCTAACTCGACGCTTCTGAGGGTTTAGGGTTTAGGGTTAATTACTCATACTGTAGCTCAGATTTGCTTGTTGCAGGTGTCGTGTACACCTTCCTGGAAGAAGGGCAACTGCGCGGGCGAGCTGCGCAGGCTTGATTGACCATGGGGCTTGCCAGTTCAAATCAAACCCGAAACCCCGAAACCCCAAATATTAACCCCTCCCCCCTCCCCCTTAAATACTCCAATTAGAAGAGTATATGGGAGGTGTTTAAAATTTGGGAGGGGGGGCCGAAACCCCAAATTTGTTGGGCTCTCTGGGTCTGGGATGCTCTGAGACGCGGGAAAGCAAGGGCATCGTCTTGCGAATCTGGTATCGAAGAGGTGTTGCAGTGCTGCAGGCAGGCTGACTTTGACTTGTAGGAGAACGACACGCCAAAAACACTTTGCTACGAAGGAGATAGTGGCATTGCTGAAGACGACACGAGGGTGGCTCGGCCCAGCTCTTCTATGCATGCGGACGCAAGCTGTCAAGCCGCGGATCCTGAGCTTTTGAGGCTGAACGCAAGGATTCGGGTCTGTGGATCTGCAGCTACTCAAATGCCTCTCAGGTACGTTGAGCCCTCCAAGAAACTTGTCGGCAACGTCATTATAGTATATATATATAATACATATGTATATATATTATATATATTATACATATACTAGATTATACATATGTATATTATCTATATAGTCATGTCGAGTCGAGCTTGCCAGCTGACATCCTGCATCTCAAGTCACGTTCACCTTGTCGAACCCGAGGAAAGCTGAGATAGACTCCGCGCTGGGATTGATTGACTACACCGAAGAAGCATGGTTCTCAAAGTAGTGGGTGGGTGCGATTGAGAGCCATATTTTGGGATGTTCCCCCCATATCATATACTAACAGTCCTTAATGGGGATTGTAGCATCCCCTATCATACTCCCCATGAAGGACTGTGAGTATAAGGGGGAACATCCCAAGCCATACCCAAGCTTCATGATTTGCTGTGGGTGGATGCATCAACCTAGGAGGACGAGGACGAGGAGTGGGAGGAGCTTCTTAGTGTACTGGTCAGCCCCTGCAACCTCGAGACCCTGCTCTCATGCAGCTTTTAGGGTTCAGGGTTTAGGGTTTAGGCCGAGAGTGTTGCTGAGACTTTCCTGGCCATGGCTGCTTGCTCGTACTGATCATGCGACAGTACGCAGGCCTTTCGTGAATTGCTGCGCGGGCATTCTGCGAATTCCCATGCTCGCGGCACGAGGATGAGGACTACGAGGATTGGGACGACGAAGACTGGGAGGCCAACTGCAAGATTGAAGCACTCAAGACGCGCAACCGTTGTGGGATCCGAAACCAAGGCATGCGATTGTGCCCATTGTTGCGGATCCATCGTGGGAAGCACGCGCCGACCTTTCTCAGACAGGTGTTAATTTTCTTGCAACTGGCAAGGATTGCAATGCTCAGGTCGTACCACCCTCTTCTGCCCGTGCCAGGGCTCGAGCACAAGGCGATGTCTGTAATCGAGGTGGGTCACGGCCACTCTGTCAGGGGCTTTTGATCCATGTTGATCCCATTCTGGACGCGGCAAGCTTGCGGAAGGTTGTCCGACTGCCACTCAAGGCCCTTGAAGACTTTGACAAGGCAGAGGAGTGAGAGGTCACATGACCGGTCGAGTCAACAGAGACCCAGAGAGCCGAATGCCCTTTATAAAGGAGTACAGTTCACTCGACCTTAAACTACGTAGCAATAGGGTTGTTGAGTATTGTATGACTAAAGACATATGTGACCTCATCTACGTGGAGGTCAGGGCACAGATAACCCCAATAATGACTGCACTTATAAGCCTGTAAGTCCTCTCAGTAGCTTCTAAGTAGACGTACAATTGAGGTTGTAAGTGCCCATGAACCTCCAAGTAGGCACCCTAAACCCTAAGCCCCAGGACGAAGCCCTAAGCCCTAAGCCCTAAGCCCTAAGCCCTAAGCCCTAAGCCCTAAGCCCTAAGCCCTAAGCCCTAAACCCTAAACCCTAAACCCTAAACCCTAAACCCTACCCCCCCCCCCCCAAAAAAAAAAGTATGCATACATATATATAGATATATGTGTGTATGTATATATGTATATGTATTTATTTATACATATATATATATATATGTATATTAGTAAATCAGTAGCTTCTGGAAGCAGAACACCCAGTGTGCAGGCAGTTCCCTTCATTGCACCGAGGGATCGGACCTCAGGACTGCAGATCATCAAGTAGGGTTTAGGGTTTACGGTTTAGGGTTTAGGGTTTAGGGTTTACGGTTTGGGGGGGAGGGGGGGTGTCGGGTGCGGGTGAGCATGACCTGCATCATGGGTTCGTTTTGTAACATCCCTGCACAGTCAAGGCCGTAGTATCATAGAGACCGACCAGCTTGCCCCCCTAAGGTCATCGGCCATTCTTGTACATTAATATGCCCCGGCCTCAAAGACTCGACCAGCTATCTTGAGTCTGCACCGCACCAGGGCATCGCAGTCCTTTTGCATGGCCAGGCCTGCACTGCCTCAATGTTCACACTCCCTGGGACGGCTGGGAGCAGTTTTTTGCACCATCGCAGCTGACAGGCATCGGTCCTGGTAGATGGCCGGCCCCAAAATCATGGCTCCCCTGGGTTTAATCTTCCTTGCACAGTTTTGGGTATCAAACAGGGGGCCAGATCCAACAGCATCAGATGACAATTGGAAAAGTGGATGTATACACATTATATGCACCTGTGAACTTTTTATACCGGCATCAAGCATTGGTTGTCATATGAGCGCATAGTTCAGGGACAGACTCGCCATCACACACAGCCCTTGAGGGTTCAGGGAGCAGTCCTGGGCTAGAAAAAGGGTGCGCGCGCCTGTGTAGAGGCACCATGCGCGTGGTCCTCGTTCTGGCAGACGGCGTGTCCTGGCACGACTATCCCGACTCCGCCCTTCTTGGGGCAGGCGCCAGTGCGTTGCAGAAGTCCCGCAGTCGAAGCTGTGCCACTGAAGCCTACACTGTCGAGGTCGGATTAAGCTAGCAAGCTGGGAAGAGCCTAGGTGCATACACTCACGCTTACATGCTGAGCTCATGATGGCCCTAAACCCTAAACCCTAAACCCTAAACCCCAGTTAGTGCCTCTGAAGGTGCAGACTTAGCCATGAATTTTTCAGTGATGGAGGCGGTTCTTCTTGGGTGGACATCCTCGACATGGATTCCATGGTCACCTGCCTCAGTGGAATGGCACTCCTGACTTTGGAGGTTCATATGGGTAGGTATAAGCAGGGTTATAAGGTGCCCTTTAAATACGGTTAGAACCAGTCAGAGTTGCAGTTACCCTACTTATAACCCCACTTATTAACTACCCATGAACCTTCAAGCATGGGCAGTGTGCACATGCCACGTGCGCAGACAACACACACCCGACAGAGAGGACCGGTCGGACATGCTGCTCGAGCGGCTGGTTGATCATGAGGCCTGAGATGCATCTTGACGTCTGCGATCAACACAGTTGCAGTATGGAAGCACATGACTTGTCCCGATACTGAGAGGGGAGCTTACTTGAAGGTTCATGGGTACTTAGAAGTGGGGTTATAAGTAGGGTTTCTACTGTCATAACCGGTTAGAACCTTGTTGAGGGTACTCTTAAACCTATGTATAACTACCCCATGAACCTCCAAGTAATGCAGCCATCCAGCCGCCCTTCTTAGCGAGCCGCCACGAGCATCTTGGTCTCAAGCGCCGGGAACTGCTGGCGCTGGAGCACAGATGCCTGTGTTTCTTCTCCCTTGGCGAGTCTCCATATCTGCCCCCAACACCAGGCGCGGGTGCTTCGTGCTTGGGTGCGATTCTCACAGCAGTACAAAAACAAAGTGTAAGTTACAATAATATGGCATTCGAACATTACATCATCATTACATTGCTACGTCACCCTACTATTTTGCCTCACCGCATCACACCATAGATGTTCCGATCCCACACATGAACAGGTCCACTGTGCGCTGGGAGCTTTAGACTGTCGGCATGGCGCGAGTGGCCATGTGCCCTTTCGGGCCTCAGACTCAGAGAATCTCAAGGATCTGTACTTGAAGGTTCATGGGTACTTATAAGTGGGATTTTAAGTACCCTAAATAAGGTCATAACCATGGTTACCCTACTTACTCAGGGTCCCTTTTAATTTCTTGTTCAGGGTCAAGACGAAACCGTGATGTAGATGCGCTCCGGAAACCGCCGACGGATGGGAGGCAGGTATTCCTAAACCCTAAACCCTAAACCCTAAACCCTAAACCCTAAACCCTCAACCCTGAACCCTGAACCCTGAACCCTGAACCCTAAACCCTAAACCCTAAACCCGAAACCCTAACCCTAAACCCTAAACCGTAAACCCTAAACCCTAAACCCTAAACCCTGAACCCTGAACCCTGAACCCTAAACCCTAAACCCTAAACCCATCCTAAACCCTAAGCGTCCACATCTGCAGCCGAATCTTCGGCTCAAGCGGGCAGAGGTTGCTTTGCATCGCTTCTGGGGAGCGGAGAAGCGACAGACCTCTCTACGCCTTGAGCACTCAGGACGGTTCTCATAGCTCTAGCTAGCCAGGCGTGTGGCAAGACGTGGCAGGTGTGCCTAAACCCTAAACCCTAACCCCTGGAGATTGTCACCCAAGTCGGTCGGCCATTGCAGGACAATGCAGCTCATCCGTCTTCTTCCGTTCCTGGCCCCCCTCGTGCAGGCAGCGACTCTTGCTTCACAGCCCCTCGCCAGATTCAGACGTATCCTCTCAATATCATGCAATTGTTGAAGCTTTCTTCTGAACACGCCTTTACTTTAAGCTCAGGATGAAACTTATCGAGGAGAAGATGGCCAGGCGCATGTGGCTCGGCGCGTCGCTTTCCCCTCCCTCCCCCTGCTGCCTGCAGGGGGCATTCCAAGCGTTGCAATTGAACCCTAAACCCTAAACCATAAACCCTACACCCTACACCCTAAACCCTACACCCTAAACCCATAATTGCAGCTTGTGTTCTCTTGGCGTTTGGCCGCATCCAGGAAGCTCACGACGCCAGAGTCCGCGACACTGAAGAACATCGAGTCCTCAATCCTGGGCATGGCGCAGACAAGGATCTCCAAGGAGCACAAATCGGAGGCCTCCAACATGCCTCCTTCCTCAATGAGTTAGGGTTTAGGGTTTAGGGTTTAGGGTTTAGGGTTTAGGGTTTAGGGTTTAGGGTTTAGGGTTTAGGGTTTAGGGTTTAGGGGAGTCCATAGGTGGCCCCCCACAGGGCATGCGGCGCGACCTTCGGAGAGCTGAGGACCGTCTTCTTGACCGAAATCTCAGACCTCCTGGAGAAGACCATGCGGCTCTGCATGTCTGATGGCAAGTAGGCCGTTAGGAAGGGTTTAGGGTTTAGGGTTTAGGGTTTAGGGTTTAGGGTTTAGGGTTTAGGGTTTAGGGTTTAGGGTTTAGGGTTTAGGGTTTAGGGGAGACTCTCTGAGTGTATAGTAGTGGAAGTTTGTCCATCCACATCTTCGTTGTCAATGTTCGGGCCGATGCCATCGCATGTGACAGAACAATACACACATCGTGTAGATATATATATATATATATGTATCTATATTTCTATATATATATATATGCAGATTCTATATATATATATATATATAGATACACATATATATATGTTTATATACATACATACATACATACATACATACATACATCTATTCATGTTGTCATGATCGTGCAAGGAAGCAGGGTGTCCACCGTAAGACTACGCGCAGAAAGCTGCCAGCCCAGGAAGGCAAACATCCTGCTCCGGAAGAATCAGACCCAAGAAGACTTGGATGAGGCAGGGTCAAGCTGATCCAATCAGCTGAAAGTTTAGGGTTTAGGGTTTCGGGTATGGGCTGTAGTCGCTGTGGGGCATCTACATGAGTAATAAGGCTCACGATGGTTCACACCAAACGTTGAACCCGACGCCAGCTCTGGTGCCAGGCTTGGGCAAACCTCAGCACCTGTGTACATCCGAACGACACGGAAGCCTGACAGCAAAAGGCGCTTTCCAGCAGGAGTCGGACTTTTTTTTGAGCATGGCGCGCGCGCGCGCGTTCTTCATTCTAGTCGATGACGGGGCGTGTGAATCCACTGTCACCAACAAGTGCGGTGTTTCGCCAATTCACATGATGCATGCGTGCTCAGGCCTACAATGCAGGTCTAACAACAATGTCGGCACATCACTCTCATTGCCGCATAGAGGAGGAGCACTGGCTGGGCAAGTTTCGATCAGTTCTTCCTTGCTACTACTTGAGATGTTCCCCCTTATACTAACAGCTCCTTAAGAGTGATTATAGTGGGGGGGGGGGGGTACTAGAATCCCCATTCAGGACTGCTAGTAGAAGGGGGAGCATCCCAAATAATTACCTGTCAAAATGTAGGTAGCTCAGGCATCTTCGAAGCCCTTCAAACATGGGGTGGGAGGAGCATAAGCCCTCATGGCCTTTTTTGGGTATTGCTGAGTTGAGGTTCGGCCCAACGCCCAAAAGTTATTTCAAGGTACTGTGCTTTCCAGCAATGGCCGTCGAAGTTTCGGGGAATAGAGAAAGGCATGTGATAGTTGGTCTAAACCTAAAGCCTAAAGCTGTAGGTTTTGGGAGGCCCGAAGTGCAGTTTTGGTCGGGATAGGTTACTTCAGGCCTCTAAACCCTAAACCCTAAACCCTAAGCCCCGCTGCGTGGCCAGGACTCTATCTGGGCGGACTATGACAGCGCGTGCATTCTCGCGCGACAGCTTTGGGAGAATGAGAAGAAGGCGATTTGTGACGCCTATGAGGCGGCACGGGTGCCTTACCTGAACTTCGAGGAAGCATTGCCATGTTGGCGTTTCCGAAAATAGGGGAACCACTTTTTCTTCTCCAATTAGAATAGAATCCCCTTAAAGGGACCCTCAAGGAAGGTACCCCTATTTTCGGAAGCCACCATGCGTCTCTTGCACCAAATATGGCTGCGTCCCTGTTGCCTCAGGTATTTCCCAGTCCTACCAAGACCTGCCAGATGTCGGAAGGTACGGCCATCCCAACCATCGGCAACTATCTGCTGGAAATGGAGAAGTGACTTGGCCGGGCTCAAGCCGCAGAATTGGCTGCCCTTTAGATTTCGTTCAGAGGCACTTCAGTTGGTCAGTTCTTTTGAAGTTTATCCTATGACGCTCAAGGGTTGGGGTGGGGGGTTTTGGGGCTGGCAGACTCTCTCTCTCTCTCTCTCTCTCTCTCTCTCTCTCTCTCGCTCTTCATTTTTCCATTCTCTTTCTGCCTTCCTGGGTCAGGTTCTACTCAGACACATACGACGACTTGCTGGACAAGAAGCTCAAGTGTGAAAATGCAACCAACACCCCGTTCAAGAACGAGGACCTTTGCCACGAGAAGATTTGCAGCTATTACGACAAGAAGATCACTTGTGATATGACGCAGGCAAGGCCACTGCCAATGACACCTCCATCATGCGAACAACACTTTGCCCATGTTTGCCTACAGCTTTGCTGCCACCCCTGCAGACAAGAGACAGGCAGGCATCAGGTCATCAGGCCATGGCGCCGCCACATCGTAATTTAGGGTTGAGGGTTTAGGGTTTAGGGTTCAGGGTGTCTTGCGCCTGTGGCGCCTTTATCTCTCATCTTTGAGCTTGATTGGTTCGTGTCTGAGCCTGTGCCGCAGGCATCCTTTGAGAACCAGGCATGCGACTTCCACAAGGAGTACACCTGCCTCAAATACACGGAATGCTACGACGAGAAGGCGCAACACCTTGCGCAAAAAAGGCATGACTGTAAGCATGGGGGGGGGGGGGGGGGGGAGGCGGGGTGTCGAGTCCAAACCCGAAACGCACAAGTCGAGAGAAGTCGAAGCCCCTAATTACAATTACCAAAATTTACGTGAAGTAAAGTTATTGAATTTCAATGGTTAGTAATTATACTAACATAATCTAAGCCCATCGACCTTTTTGGAGGTGCAGCTGTACTCCTCCGTGGTCACCTTGGCGGAGGAGGGCGAAGGGACCTCCAAGGCCCGTTGCACAAGAAGCGTTGCCTTTGTCTACTATTTGCCTAAGAACACCCCCTCCCCCCCCAAAAAAAAATGAAGTCTACTACTTGCTTAAGAACCCACCCAAAGAATAAAACAAATGTAATCCCTACATTACCTTGTAAGGAAGAATGTTTTTTTGTTTTTTTTTTTTTTTTGGGGGGGGGGGGGGGGGAGGGGGTTCTTAAGCAATTCGTCGTTGTTGGGGGCTGACAAGGGGTCACACGCTTTGGAGAAGTTAAATTTGCACACTTACTTTCTTAGTTTAGGGTTTGGGGTTCGAGAAAGGATCTACTCTTGGGGGTCCGAAACCCTAAACCCTACTCGAAGGTTCATGGGTACTTATACATGGGGATATAAGCACCCCAAATAAGGTTGTAACCAAGGTTACCCTACTTAGAAACCC